GGGATATTAGATGCTAGAGAGCAGGAGCTGTCATTCAAATGGAGAAACAAAAATGAGAAGGCCTCAGACCATTACACTTGGTCGTGGACATAAGAAGAGAAGAAATACGAAGTTAAGAAGAATTGGAAACGGCTGACATTAGTAAGGTTAACTAACCGTTGGTAAGGGTAACTAATTGGGCCCAAACTAATGTGATGGAATTGGATACCAAGGTCACTTCGAAATATCCATTTAAAGTATAAATGTAACATCCCGTCCCGAAACTAACGAAACGTACATTGAAATTACAATTTTACCCCTAATCTATTCGTTTACGTGTATATTTGTGTTGTGTGGGTGGTGGGACCACACACAATCATACATTTTTTCTTTTCTCCCGGGATTCCCTCCCTCATTCCCTCACTCTGTCTCTTCTCTCTTCTCTCTTCTCTCTTCTCTCTTTTCTCTCTCTCTCTCTCTCTCTCTTTCCCCGAGCTCCATTATTCTTCTTCTTCCTCTATACACGGACACACATACAAGCATACCCAAATCTTCACCAAACAAGAAACCAATTACACCATTGAACTCGTGAGGTTGTGAGGAGCACAACCATACCAATTCCAGGTAAGAATTCGAACGTTTTCACGTCGTTTCAACAATGGCCGATTTGAAACACTATTCATGCAAACCTAAACTAGCTTGTTTTTGGAATTTCTAAGCTTGTAGTTGTGTTTGTGAGGTCCCAAGGAGCCTCGGAGTGGTTCGTTGGGTGAGTTTGGACGTCAGGATCATCCTGTGCAAAGTTGGCCGAACTTGGATCGTTGTTGCAGGTGAGATTCCTTGATTTTTAGGCCTTAAAAGTAGTCCAACGTGATTCTACTAGTTCTAAGCTTCATTTTGGTATAAAGAACGTGAAATTTGGTTGAAAAACGAAGGAGAAAACAAAGTTGGAAAATTACCCAGTTTTCCGGCGCCGTCGCCGGCGCCGGAGTCTCGCCGGAGAAGACAGAGGAATATTCCGTTAAGTTTAACGGAATATTCCTAACGGCAGTGACGGAATCCGGTTAGATTTGACGGAATATTCCGTCAGTTAACGGAATATTCCTGACGGCGTCTGTTGACACCGTCAGTGTGCAGCGCACGTGACCGCGCGTGGGGGGCGCGTAGGTCCGTGGCTGTTCAGGCGCGTGGGGGCGCGTGCGTGGTCCAAAAATTTTTCTAAAAATATGGGCGTGATCCTGAGGTTGTGTAGATCACGTTGGTATATTCATATGTCCAATTTGAGCAATGTATGAGAAGTTATTACGAGAAGTTGCTTAGGTGCTTTTAAATTAATGTTTTCGTAACTTTGTCGCGTATAGGTGATTCGTTTTCCGAGGACGAGCGTACGCACTCGAGGCAGGGGGGCTACGACCCTTCTAATTATCAGTGAGTGGGCTTTTGTTTTCCGTATATACCTCTAAATTCCCAGAAATAGAATAGAAAAGGTTATATGTTTTATGCCATGCATCATTTGAATATTGTTTACGCATCATCACGTGCATTGGTAATTGGCATACATATATATAAATGTGTATTTGGTGCTGTGGACGCACAGGTAAGTGCCAGGTAAGCGGTATTCATGTGGTTATGCATTCCTGTTTATTATGCAATAGTAGTTTGAGATGCTTAGAGAGCTCATAATCTGCACCCCCGGTGTTAGTGCTCCCGCCCAGAGAGGGGCAGAGTCCTTCACGTGTATGTTCACCAGCACCACACGCTCGCCTTGGATCCAAGTTAGGTGCAAGCCTTGTCGTGCAGACCACATTAGGTGGTTCCGACTCGTAGGTGACCCGCGATTATTCGCATAGTCTTCACGTGATCGTAGCACTAGAGCGTATATATATTACACCCAGTCTTGTCGTACAAACCACGTTAGGTGGCTCCGACTTGTGTGCAGATTCAGATGTTGAGTTGAGATTGGAGCTCTATAGGCAGCGGTACATGTCACGTTAGGTGACTCCCGGCTGTCAGATTATATATTATTGATGTGAATTACGCTTGAGCATTTACATTTGATTATGATATTCTGTTGTAGTACATTCTCAAGCATGAATGGCATATTGTGAGCATGAATGGCATATGGTGAAGCATGATTGACATATCTATACATACGTATATATGTTCATTTTCTGGGAAGTATACAGGTTTTACGGCGAGGGGTTAGAATGTGTTTTGCTAAAGAGTTTTCAAAGAACTTTGTTTTTGCCCACTCACGCTTTTGTTTTTGCGCCCCTCCAGGTTCTAGTGGTCTAGCAAGTTCGGTGGTTTATCCCAGAGGGCGTCCCGGCATTTCTGACAGACACTCACCATTGTAGGGTCACCTTCGGGTGTAAATATGTCGTATCTTTTCCTTTTGGACTGTTGTAGAATTGCTCTGAATTGTGTCTCACATACACTAGTACTTTGTATGCTATTAGGTTTTTAATTATTCGTACTTTTATATTACCTTCTTAATTAGCTTCCGCACGCGCACATGGTTACGTCACCTTCGTGTGACGGCCAGCACGCCCTGATCTCGGTCGGGGTGTGTCAATAAAACACTGCATAAAATAATTTATAAATTACCAATGGAAAATATCTAAACAATTTATATTACAAAGTTCAATGAAACTAACTAGAATAATTAACACGTAATTACTATAAGTATTTTAAAAATACAGGTTCTCACAGTAATTAATTCTCTTTTGCTAGGGAGAGGTCATGAACCCTACGTAGTCTTTATTCAATTGCTTATGATATTATACATACATACTTTGAAATATTAATCACTGTATTTAAATTGTCATTGTGTCTTAATGCTTCTCGACCTGAAATTAAGGAATGCTTCTTGTAGTTAATAACTGTAAGTTCACTTCGGGCGAATGCCACATTTTAAGGGTTGCATGGTTTTTCAAATGGTTTTACAAAGTGTAATGAATCATGCATGTTTATATTTGATCTCAATGCCACACATGAGTTGCATGTTTAATATATGTTCTAACTTGAGTTGCATGTTTAATATATGTTCTAACTTGTTTAATATATTTGATCTAAATGCCACAATTAGAGTAGGTATAAGGAAAACCTAACCATTAAAGTTGTATGCGTCATTCATAAGTAATCGGTAAAACTACATAGGATTGTTAAAGTGATGACAGAAACCTAGTGTCCTTTTACCATTGTTTTTCAAAATTATTTGTTTTCAATTTGGTTTCCTTAAAAATTGTTTCCTTGCCGATTTATTTAATTGTTTTTTTATTAAAATTCGTTTTTATTATTTTAAATTCCAAAATCAATCTTTTTCTGAACTTTGTTTTAAATAATTAATTAAGATTTGGTTTTAACATAAATTATTTTAAATAATCATGTGGAGAACGACATTACTTGAGCCGTTTATACCACAATATCTTATTCTCTTGCAAGTATTTTTAGGTGTTTTTATTCTTATTTTCACATATAGTAAAAATTCTATCACCTACTCAACCTTAACAAACATTAGACCTTGCACGTTGCAACCGGCTTTTGTTTCTTTACTTTGCCAAATCACTAGACTGTAACCTCCAAAAGTGAAGTACCCAAAATTAGAACGGCTCATCCATTTGAAAATCAACCTTTTGTTGCAAGATGTTTGTGGAACCGTTAAAATTTCATCGATGCCAGTCACAATAATATCATTTACGTTATAATTTAAACAACTATATAATCATTCTCTTTTCTAATTTTTCAAATGTTTGACTGTCTATTTTATTCGTATAGAAATTAAGCACATAAATTTAACATATTGAACTAAAAAATTGGAATGTTCTCGTAAAACTCAAGTTTTTTGACCTAAAGGGAATCAAACTCAATATTGGGATCTTTTGATATAGGCGCCTTAATTTTGAATTTTTTACATCAACCATCCATGCCTTTTTGTGATTTGATTAAACTTTTTTTTTGTCATAATTTTGATGCTATATGCACATTATATTGTAACAAATTTCCTATAATCTAGCTTTTTGATTATACTCTCATCTGTTAGAGATAATTGTGAAAAAAAAAGTTGGTTGGATTCAATTTATTTTCACAATAATGCTACAATTTAGCAATAATTATCTACAACTTAAGATATTTTCTTTCCAAAATAGTTTAAAATATTTTTAAATCCCCCAAAATCAAACGTACCGAAATAATTTTTTTTTTTTTTTGTAGTACGTTAAGTGAAAATAGGATTGAGAATAATATAAACGTACCAATACACAATGTGTACAAAATAAAACGTACCAAAATAAGAATAATGTACCAATATTAACAATATGTATCAACTCAAACGTACTAAAATTGCAAATAAATGTACCAATTAATGTTTTTTGTAAATTCAAACGTAGCTGCATATAATATATACGTAATGTGTTGTACCTAATAGTAAGTCGTCAACAACTATACTTAAAAAAAAAAAGCAAAAAAAAAAAAAAAATCACAAAAAAGTTGAAAAAATTACCTGGAGCTTTTATGTTGATCACCAACTATTTGAAAAGGAAAAATACCATTTGGAAAAAGAAATAATAAAAAATGTTTGCATAAAAAATAAAAAAAAACCGTAATCTAAAAAACATATTTGAAAGGAGAAAATATAGTTTAATTACTAATATCTCCACTAAATAAAAAAAAAATGCATCATGTAGATAAAATGATAAATTCAAAAATTATTTTAATTTAAAAAAATAAAAATGATTATTGATCACAACATTTTAATCAAATTTTAAAAAGATACAGATGTTTAATATAAATAATAAAGAAATACTGTAAGGGATTTTAATTTTCCCAACTCAATATTACGCACACTAATAGCCATAAACCCTTTTTCAGGGTAACAGAACACACAAACTAGGCCTTGGTTGGTTATAACCCGATTTCAGCCCATCGAGCCCAAATGTAACACCAAGCCCATTATGAATCAGCAACCGAAAAGCCCAAAAGAAAACCGAATTTGTCTTTAAAAAGAGTGGAAAAGAGGAAATTCAAGATCCGTGTCGTGTCTACTAAGCCAACGGAAAAATAAAGGAATTAAAAAAATTAAAACCATTAGCAGTCGCCGTAAACGCGGTTGGGGAAGAAACCAAGGCCACCGTGGAAGAAGGAAGGAGAGACACTAGGCTGCCTTTATCTTGCACTTGTTCAGGTAAGTCGTCTTGCCGGTGCCATCGCCTCCTCTGGTGGTGATTGCTTATTGCTGGCTCGATCTAATGCTTTCGCACTTGCTTTGCCCTCTTCCTCTTGGTTTGTTTAATTTTTTTTCAAAATTATCTGAAATCTTCAAAAATTGTGCGGATTTGCAGACATCTGACGCATTTGGTGTCTGGCCTGAAACACGGTCGTCAGGAACGCATTTGGTGTCTGGACCGAAACACGTTTTCCTCTGTAATGGAAAAAAAAACTGTGAAGATTGTATATCTTGCTTCCATTGACCGCACTTGTTGAAAAACGACGGCAACGAAGAAGAAGAAGAGAGTTTACAGCGTTACTACTATTATTTATTACTAGTACTTAGATTGTTGGCACCGAGGAAAGAAGAGTTGGAATGATCTATTATGGCCCAGCAGTCCTCTCGTCTCCATCGCCTCCTCACTCTCTTGGACAGTATCCTTCAACCTTTTCCTTTGCTTATATTTTAAGCTGTATTAAATTAAATTGTGGTTGAATGCATGTTGTTTAGTTTGGTTACGGATCACCCCCTTTCCTCAATCTCCCAATATTTTGGTTTCAAAGTTTCAAACTGACTTTGTCTTTAACCCAATCCTGATAGCTGGTTCAACCCAAGCGACCAGATTTACAGCTGCTCGGCAGATAGGGGACATTGCCAAAGCGCATCCTCAGGACTTGAGCACTCTGTTGAAAAAGGTATTACTGACTTCCACGGTGTTTTTCGTGCAGTTACACCATGCACACTATATCATCTGCATCTTTGCTGCCTTGAAAATGTAACTAAACAAATGACGAAGTTGAGTTTTATTTGAAAATCAACATTACAACTACTTCATTTCTCTGGTGACTAAGCTTAAACATGTTCGCCATTTTTTGTTTTTAGACAGCTAGGTAGAGCTTCACTTTTTTCCGTTTTCATTCAGGGATAGGGAGAAACCGGTTATGGTCTGATATATGGTAATGAAAGGATCGAAATCCAAGAAAGAATACGAGGGCTGCTAAGAGCTAACATCCACTAATATAAATTTCTAAGTAAAAGTATTTTTAACCCTATATATTAATTTAAATACCTCCAAATGTCTGGTTGTGCCTTTCACGCAAAATTTGCTATTTTTCTGATTGTGGAATCAGCCCTTCCAACAAACCAGCAAATGTACAACTCTATTGAGCACACGACACAATGGATACCAAATAGATGTACAACTTTAGCGCACAACACCAATAAACCAGCAAATTTACAACTTTAGTGTCTTACAAGAAAATTTATCTTCCCACTTTCTTTATACATTCACCACCAAGTAAAGTTAAGTTATTTTCAGTGTACTTAAACAAGAGCCTTATATTAAATATGAACTTCAACAGTAGCATCTCTATTGTCAGGAATCCGAAATAAAAAAGAAACATTTATTAAGGGACAGCTAACCCAAAGTCATGCCAAACTGTACACGAACTACTAAGAGAATGTGAAATACCACAAAACCTCAAAACCTGTCCCAGCCATTTTGAATAACACAACGCATCTGCATTTATTCCCTTCATCTGTTATTCAACTGTGAGTTAAAACTGACTGCCATGATTTTTGCGTTTCCTCTCAAAAGAAAGAAAAATATATGAAACCGATTTCTCATTAACTGTTGTATAACTTTCTCTTTGTTTTGGTTTTTGTTGATAGATGCTCTGGCCTATGGTTGGTTTGTTTGATGTAAAAAGTTTTATGTCATTTTGAATTTATTAATTTCTTTTTTGTGAAAAAATCTGTCTTTAACTTATGTAACTTGCGAGGTTAGGTTTCCCAATATCTTCGTAGCAAAAACTGGGATACAAGGGTTGCTGCCGCTCATGCTGTTGGGGCTATTGCTGAGAATGTGAAGCACACCTCTTTGATTGAACTCTTTACTTGTATTAAATCGAAGATGGCTGATGCTGGGATATCTGGTTCTATTGAAGATATGGTTGCCTTCCCTATTTTTGATTCTAACGTTGCTGGCACGTCATTTAGAAGGTGGGATTATTGTACACTTGTAATGCTCTTGTTTGGTTGGCTTTTGATTTGTGCCTGTAATGTAGGCATGACTGTTTATCTAACTTTGAATTTTGTTAACAGCTTTGATCTCAAAAAGGTTTTGGAGTTTGGTGCTCTGTTTGCATCTGGGGGACAGGTAATGCAGTGTCTATTGTATGTTTGTTGACATAATTGCTCTTATGTGAAGAGGGAAGATGTCTAAATTTCACTTTTGATTATGTAATTTAGATAGGCAGTTTCTTTAAACTGTCCATGTCAATCTGCAATTCTATCATTTATGTGTGTGTTAATGTTTGTTCATGTTTACGACAAGATAATCGTGGGAAACATTAACAGACCAGTCTAGCCATTTTTAACTATTTATTTATGTATCTGTGCCACATTTTAGACGCAAGATATATTAAAACAAATTAAAGAGATCAGAGATGGAGTTATAGTTCTTCTCTCCCTATTTTATTTTATGTTTGTTTAATCTATTTTAATGATTATTCATATCTAAATTTCTCCCTTTCAAAAAAAAAAAAAAAAATCTAAATTTCTAAAAGGAGGAATTATGTTGCTCATTGATTGTGCTAGGTGATATATGGTTTCATAAAATGAAAGGATAAGTGGTCTGATTAAGTGATATATTAAAAGGGCTGACAGTTTAATAATTCGTGAATGGATCACTTTTCTGATTTTAAATAACATCTGGGCTTCTTATAAAAGATATAGAGAATTGTGGATACTGCCTTTTGAATTGCAGATGCTTGTTTGTGCAAGAGGATGGCCTAATTTGGTTTATTTATTTATTTTTTTCTGATTGAAAAAAATATGCTTTGTCGGAGTCTTCATTTCTTCTTTATAATGGATGTTTCATTTTTGGAACAGGAGTATGATGTTGCAAATGATCATATGAAGAGCCCAAGCGAGAAACTGGCTCGTCAGAAACAAACACTTCGACGTCGTTTAGGTTAGTAATAGTTTAGTTTTTTTGCACTGATAATATACTGGGGCCAAAAAGTAAAAAAGATAAATCCCCTTTAGGTTGTTGTCTTTGTAGCGTGGACAGTGTATTGTTGGGGAGAGTGTAATGGTTAATTTTTAAAGTTCAATCTACTAATACTGATAAGATGATTGGCTCTTTGAACCATTATGTTTTCTAGTGATTGGATGGGAAAAGACAATCACTAGACAGTGTCCACTTGAGAATAAGTTTAGCTATCATTGGATTGGAGACATGTATCTGAACTGCATATCTGATGATTCATATTCCTTATTGCTGAGTTTGGCCTTGATGTGGCCTTTTGTTGGCTGCCACATGGCATAGTGGGGCCCACCTTTCTCTGTCTAGCAAACTCACACCACCACCCAAATGTCATTCACCCACCCACCCATTGGAACTATCACCAAAATCCCACCTGCAAGCCAATGACCATGTACTCCCCTCCCTACACACCAGATTATGATTTTTAATGTGGAATTTTTTTCCTTAATGTGTTTTCTTTTTTAGGTGGATTCATACAGCCTACCCCACTTAGTGGGATAAGGCTTTGTTGGGTTTTCTTTTTAATCTTGGGCTAAAATCTGGAGTTTTATTCTTTTCTTTTTTCTCTTATATGTGATACGGGTATTAAAAAGAAGAAAAACAATAAAGAGGTCGGTCGAGGACTAACTCTGAAACACACAGAAAAAAAAACCACCCAGCACAAACAGCTGGGAAAAGACCTAAAACCATTATAGGACAGCCACCTTCCAGTCAAGCCGAAGCAGTGAAAATGAAATTCCCATGAACTCTGAGGAATCAAGTTCAAAGAACAGCCATAAACAGAGTCCTGTCCCAGAGCTCCATGAAACCAACTCAAGAAAATCCTCAAAGATCCTTCTGTTTATCTCCAATTCTCCATCGTATTGACCCAAATCACCGCATGAGCAAAGCTGATACATTGCAAGCCTACTCTTTCTCACTCCAATATAAACTATGCAGCTAGAATACAACAGCCGTCCAGTCCCTTTTTTTCCCTCTTCTGAAAGGAGACGAAATCTTAATGCCTAAACAATAAATTTCATGAGCAGACTAGATGTCCATAAAGTAAAACAAAGCAGGAACGTGAGCATGATCACCTTAAACTCAACGCCTCTATGAAACTCCATAAAATTAACAAATAGCAGCTTTTCAGTTAAGCCAGATATCTGAAAAAGAACAATCTCTAAACTCAGGAAATGGAAGCCCATAATGACGACCATTGCGGTCTTTATCCCATAACTCCTTATTCCTGCTGTCTGTGAGGACCTCAAAGATCAGCCTATTTCTTTCCATTGATGTTTGTTGAGAATATCACGTTTTAAGAATGGGAAAAACAAGAACAAACTCCGGAAATCGAAAACAAATAACCAAGATAAATAACACCAAGAATTTACGTGGTTCGGCAGTATGTGCTTACGTCCACGGGACAGCAACAACAATCTTTCACTATATCAATAATGAGTACAACCAATAATCTTGCCAAATCTCTAGAACTAGGACTTGACGAAAAACCTAAAAGAACAAGAACAAGAAATACACTATCTCTTTTCTTTTCTCTCACACACACTTTACAATATTCTCTCACTCTAATCCCTAGAGTGGTATACAATTTATTGTTTTGCTCCCCCCTAAAAATAGTACAATAGCCCCTTTATATAGACATAATAAAGGTCTTCTTCAATAAGGATTACTAATCCTAATTGGAATCTAGTTATGAATCCTTCTCCAATTGAGAAAACAATTTAATCCTATAAGACTATTAATTCCCAATAGACTTAGGACAACTTATCATGGGCTGGAAAAAACCCAACAATGTTACCCAAAATCACTGATTCCATAAAACCTTGGCTTTCTTCTTCCCATTTCCAGGTAACTTATGCTTCTTTAATATAAAAGAACAATCTCTGGGTATAACCCAACTGACAAACCTTAGCTTTATTCTCTATATCGTACTGATACAGATGGATACAATGAAGCCAAAAGTCTTGATATGTTAGATCACTCACCGTTTTGCGAATCCATGCAGTGCTGTACCAAGGGGGTGTTGGGTTTTTCCAGCCATGATGAGTTGTCCTAAGTCTATTAGGAATTATATACTTAGAAGATTGAGTGGTTTTCCCAATTGGAGTGGTTTTCTCAATTAGAGTGGTTTTCTCAATTGTACCCAATTTAAATTGTTTTCCCATTTGGAGTTAGTTTCTCAATTGGAGAAGGATTCATAACTAGATTCCAATTAGGATTAATAATCCTGGTTGAAGAAGACCTTTATTATGTCTATATAAAGGGGCTATTGCACTAGTTTTGAATTTGGGAGCAAAACAATATTTTGTATACCACTCAAGGGATTAGATTGAGAGAATATTGTAAGGGTAAAGTGTGTGCAAGAGAAAAGAAAAGAGAGAGTGTATTTCTTGTTCTTGTTCTTTCAGGTCTTTTCGTCAAGTCTATTCTAGAGGCTTGGCAAGATTATTGTTTGTACTCATTATTGATATAGTGGAAGATTGTTGTTGCTGTCCCGTGGACTTAGGCACATATAGCCAAACCACGTTAATTCTCGTTGTTATTTGTCTTGGTTATTTTGTTTTAGACTTCCCGTGTTTGTTCTGTTTTTCCCATTCTTAAACGCGATATTCTCAACAGGGGGGAAGACCATTGTTAAATACCAGAATATGTAGTTAGTGGTGTTTTATTTTATCGGTAATGTAGTCATTGTGAACATTAATTATGGTGTGCTAACATGCAATTCAATCTCTTGGGTCTAATAGAAATCTCACTGTTTATTATACAGGTTTGGATATATGTGAGCAGTTCATGGATGTGAATGATATGATAAAGGATGAAGACTTTATTTTACACAACTCGCATGGGAACGGGACTAATCCAAGAGTTTATACATCACATAGTATTCAGCAATTAGTTGCAAATATGGTTCCTAGTGTCTTATCAAAAAGGCCAAGTCCCAGGGAATTGAATCTTTTAAAACGAAAAGCAAAAATCACTTCGAAAGACCAGTCAAAAGGTTTGTCTGAAAATGGGGATATGGAGGTGTCATGTGCTCAAAATATACCACCAAAGGGGGCATGTCCTGACTCATTCGGGACTAATAAGGTACTAGGTTGCCTACTGATTATTATTATTTATTTTTTTGGTGCTAGGTGATGTGAATGTTGTATGCCATTTCATACAAACACTTCTTAATTGGTTGTAATAAAATATGAAGTGTTGAATAATATATATTTTGAAGGAGTGTCATTAAAAAAGTTTGTGGAGTAAACTTCAAGTGTAGGCAATTAAGGGACACGCTGTATTTGTTGGATAAATTTTGCATGCAGTTTTCATGATAAGGTTGCTTGAATTATCATTTAAGTTTTTTATTTATAATTAGGCCTTGTTAAGGGGAGATAAGGATCATGAAGGGGATGATTATAGGGGCGAAGAAACAAGGAAATATAATTAGTTATTTATGTATTATCGTAGTTCATCAATGATTTAAATGACATTTGTATAGGAATAATTTGGTCATGAACTTATGATAGCTCAAAAGTTTTCAACTTGAAGGTTTACTCTTCTACTAGCTAGGATATTGATGCACTGGTTTGTTTGGAATTTGATACTAGGTTTCACTAGATTTTACAGGCTGATCTCTACACACTATTGAATTATTCATTTTCGCATTTGCTATTGTAAGAGGTTTAACATCTTATGATATTCAGGTGTAAATTTCCTAACCATTGTTCTGTTGCAGAATTAATTTGGTTTCTTCCTTCTCACTAGTTTCGTACTTTGTGGGGAATAAGTTTCTGCATTTAATGTTTATTAGCTATGCAGGAATTTTTGGACCTGGATAATCACGAAGAAAAAGTTGAACATGATGGAGAAGGGCGGTGGCCTTTTCATAGCTTCGTTGAGGAACTAATCCTAGATATGTTTGATCCAGGTTGGCTTCTATTATTTTTATTTCTAGCAAGGCTTAGGCTGCCTTCTCAATGTAGCCTTTAAGTGGCTGTCCTGTTTTTCTTTATCTATCTATGTGTATATATGTATCTATATATATCTATATATATATATATTGATAATATGCTTTTATAATTGCTTTTAAGTGATATTTAGTCTTACAATATTGTTTTTAATTTTTTTTTTCCAAGTTTGGGAGGTACGCCATGGTAGCGTGATGGCTTTGAGAGAAATTTTAACCCATCAAGGTGTTTCTGCTGGAGTATTTATGCCTGACTTGAGCCTGGAGGGTGCAATGTTTGTGGAATTAGAAAATAAATGGACGTCATCTACAATGAAGAGAGACAGAGAGATTGATTTGAATATGCAAGTTCCTATTGATGAATCTGAACCAGAGCTGAAAAAACCAAAGTTTGAAGATGTTACATCTCCATTTATGGATACTATGGTTTCTGCCAGCAAGAGTGGGGATTTTGATATCAGTATGCAGGGAGAACCATTTATGGATACTATGGTCTCTGCCAGCAAGAGTGGGGATTTTGATGTCAGTATACAGGGAGAAGACAGTGGTTGTAAGTCGCCTTCTGGACAGGTTAATGGTCAACTTCATGTTAGCTCTGTTAAGGTGGAGCCATGTGAGCAACCAGCTCAGGCAACTGAGTTAAGGGCCCAGTCTGACAATAAGGGATCCTTTCAGAAAATGGATGTGCTGAAAAGGCTCTCTGAAAATAGTGATATGATGAACTTGGTTAAACTGGCTAGGCATTCATGGCTTAAAAATTGTGAATTTCTTCAAGATTGTGCAATTCGTTTCTTGTGTGTCTTGTCACTAGACCGGTATGACTTTTTTTGTCTTTCTTTTTAGTCAAGTCTGCCTTTTATCCAAAAGAATTAAAAAAACAAAAAAGTAGGCATGCTAATTTATTAATTTGCTTAGTACTAAATTATGTGGATGTTAGTATGAAACTCCACGCATCTCCATATGATAAAATAATTATTTTTTCTGTTTATTATGGGTACAGTTTTGGAGATTATGTCTCTGATCAGGTAGTTGCTCCAGTACGTGAAACCTGTGCTCAAGCATTGGGTGTTGTGTTCAAATACATGCATCCCACTTTAGTTCATGAAACACTGAACATCTTGCTGAAGATGCAGGTAAATGTCAGCTATGGCATTGCCATGCTTTTAGTGCTGTATATTGGTTCCACTTAGTTGTTATTACTGGTTTTGTGGTATTTATGCTTCTGATATTTTGATTTGTTCAGTGTAGACCAGAATGGGAAATTCGTCATGGAAGCCTATTGGGTATTAAGTATCTAGTTGCCGTGCGGCAGGTAAGTATTTGTTTCTGTTTGCAGTATTTTGAGATAATTTGCGATTTGCTGGAGTACCATGCATATTTTGGACATTACTAAAAGAAACAATGTGTTGTTTGATGTGTCATGTGTTATCTTTTTTTACTATTTTCCATAATATAGAGCTCAAAGTTTTATGATGCGGATAATAGTTTTTGTGGTGGTTCTTTGTACTTCAGGTATTTAGAAGTTGAGGTATTAAGTAATATTTGAATGTTTGAACATTTCTTTTTGATCTGTAAATGAATACAAAAACAGGATCTATATCGAATCCATAGATTCTTTTTCTTGATGGATTTTTTGCATCTTTTAAATTTCCTTAAAAAAATGACATGCAAATAAATAAAGGGTTTCTCACATGTAAGCCCTTGATAACATTATGCTCACACTTCAAACTCAAACTTTAGAAAACAGCCTGCTGATTTTGCGATGAGAGAAGGGCACCAAGGGAAGATCACAAGTAATAATCAATTAGAACATTGTAAGTGGATAGCCAAGGGGTTTTTGACCCCTCCAATTTAGCCCTTTTAAGTGTTTGTTTATAACACTTATTGTTGTCATGGTGTTTGTTCTAATTTACTGATAATGAGCCATAGGTTTATTTTTATGTATTTTAGTGTGAGGTATGCACAGAGCAACTGGTATAATTTCCATTACTCTTAAAGGAAAGATGGGTTGCAGTGTCTATTGGTGGCTGCTCCCCCGGTTTACGTTGTTATTATCCCTAACTTTACCACCTAAGTCCATTATTTGGTCGGGTCAGGCTTTATGGACCCATCTATCTGAAATTTTATCTCAAAAGTTCTCAGTGTATATTAGGAAGACCTCATTCTTAATATACCCCAGTATGGACATTCACTTCTCTAATATGGGACAATTTTATTTAATACACCATTCCTTACATTCTCCACCTTGGATCAAATCACAATTCCTCATACAAGTCCTATTGAATTATCATAACCGTCCATCCCTAGGTATCATCATCCCAATTTGCTGGAAAATCTCACAGGCAACTCCATCTTGAGGATTGATTGGTCCCTAGGTATCATCATTCCGTTAAGATTTTCTCAAGTCTACTCCACCTATTGGGTCATTGTTTAGCCATCTGACCATATGGCTGCGCCACCTCAAAGATAATAATGAGCCTAGTGTCCCAGCCTAAACTGTGGGATCTGGTTCCACTTGTTTGCGAACCACTTCTTTCGGCCCTTCCCAAGTTGCATCAATATTTCCCTTACTTCCCTGCTTAGGTCCAAGTTTGGGTTGCGTCATGGACCTACAGTCCATTGTCCCATCCAGATGTGAGGTTTTATCTCAAAACATCTTGGTGAAATTTGGGGAGGGCTCCACTTTTTTTTATTGAAGAGCTTCCACTTAATACACTGTAATATGGACATTCATTCAATGTGGGACAATTATATTTGATCCACAGTTTCTAACAGTATTCTATGGGTATGTTTAAGGAATTGTTTTTTTTATTTGGTAAGAAATAGAATATATGTATTAATAAAAGTAGTAAGCAGAATATAAAAAATGGGGAGGGCTCCAAAAATTGAAGTCCTTGGGTGGTTATTGGTTATTGGGAAGGTCAATACTTGTGATCAAATACAAAAGCGACAGTGGTGTTGTCTGTGTAAATCATCGGAGGAGAGCGTCAATCTTGTTTTTCTACTTTGTTCTTATTCCATACAGCAAAGCTGTGGTTGGAAGTTTAAGGAATTTAGAGCTAGCTGGCTTATTCCAAAGGGCTGCTTTGAGCTTCTAAGCACCATGTTGGAGGCTCTAGGATCTAGGTAGGGGGAAGAAAGCTAAAACTTTGTGGGGGCAGTTTGGTGTTGGTAGTTTGTTGGAACATTTGGTTGGCGCGTAATAGAAGACTCTTTGAGGACAATAAGGGAGTGGGAGTAGATGAACTATGGGATAGAGTTACATGTTGGGCGGCTCTTTGGGCTTAAGTGGCGAATGAGGACTATTCTCATTCTTCTATATCGATCATAGTTGCCAGATACGGGTACGATTTGAGTTTGTAGTTTGGTTCGGATACACGATTCGGTAGTAACATAAAGTATCATTCGCCAAAGAGTAGGCGTTCAGTTCGATTCGTTTTAAATTGGTTAAAGAATATAAATTAATTTGTATATAAAAATATTGATAATGATACATTTATAATTATATTTTATAATATTACTTATTATGACTTGGATACCAAAGACTTATCATTTTCCTTGGTTATTTCTTCACATAATCATGATTTATCTCTTTAATATTTTTTATTAAATATTCATTAAACAAATAATTAATTTATTTGTAGACGTTTCCTTTCCTTTCCCTTTGTTATTTCTTCTCAATTCTCAGTGTTGCATTCCAGTTCTCTGTCCCTCCCTCCTCTCTCTCCCCTTTCTTCTCTTTCCCCGACCTCTCCTTTTTCTCCTTCACCAACAAACACAAGGACGAATAGGAACCTGCCTAGTATGATACTCTTCTCGAAGGAAGGGGGGGGGGGGTGAGCAAGTCACCTCTGTTCTTCAGAAAGTCTCTCTGACAACAAGGACGACATCAGTGAATTTTACGGTGATCCGGGTGCGTTTTTTCAGTTCTTTGTTCAAGTTTTGTCTAATCTGGTTAGAGACACCGAATTCACAACTGAACCGTCAAAGATCGGAACAGACGTACCAATACGGAGTTCGAACTCTAAATGGCCGAATCTGGCAACTATGATATCGATGGATGTGTTAGCAGCTATAATTGAGTTTGGGTTCAATTTTTATTTTTGTAAATTAGTCCTTGAGAGGTTTCGGCTAGTATTTTAGATGGTGAATTTCTTATCTGTTTGATGTAACTACTCCTGTTGTTAATAAAAGTTCTGTTTCTTGTCAAAAATAAAAAATAAACAATGGGGAGGAGCACAATCAAATTTGACTAGCAGTCCACAAAAGTTGCAACCCACTAACACTGCATCTAAAGTTTCTCAAGGAACCCAAATTTTTGTTATAGACAGGGCAGCGGATGGTGTGCAGTTCCAGGTGCTGTCACTAGATTGAGATCTGCAGGGTGGTGAGGACTTTGACTGCCTTGTATCGGGTGCAGAGAAGGGGGTGCTAGGCTTAGTAGGGCTCGAACCTATAATATAACCGTTATGAGCAGTACGTTTCAATCAATTAAACTATGAGCCCCTGCGGATCTCTACGTGCAATTTGCTTTGGGAAGAGCAGATGGAAGGAAATTCAATCTCAGTGAATTTTCATTTAGTGATCCTATCTTTCGTAGAATCGACCCCCCTGCACTATGAGCAATCTGTGCGAAAAACCACTTCTTTTTCCAGTTTCGCACCAACTTGGGTGAAATGGGGTGTAGACCTCTGTAATACTGTCATGAAGTCCAGTTTCATAATTGTCTAACATTGCTGAAACGCTGCTTATGGAAAACCATCTACAACCATGTTTTTGTCCTTGTTTCATTAAAAACAATTTTTTTCTTAACCTCCTCCTTAATGGGCTTTTCAACCAGCTGCTTTCTGTTCACGAGTTGGACTCCCACCATACCTAAAAGTGTTGGCTTCAGTTTATCCTCATTGGAAAACAAGTTTGGATGAAGCTTCACCACGCCCATTGAGGTGATTGAGGAATTGTGGATGCTAAGAAGGAAGGATATGTCTTTAGAATCAAGTTTGATAAAATTTGCAGCCATGTTGATTGGCCTTTTTACATCATGCGTTTGAAATGAATAGGGTTTGGTAGAAGATGATTAGTTGTTGCTTGAGTTTGATTAACTTCTCAGTGATTATTGGTAGGTTGAGTGCCTCAAGAGGATTGAGGGAGAGATATGATGTACCCGTTTCCTTTTTTACTTTACTCGTGAAGCAAAATCTATCCTCATCACCTGACCCAGCCCTCCTGCTGAGATTTTCTTGAGCAGCTTCTTAGTGGATTTAACACAATGCGTAGGCTTATCTGTGAATAAGCGTCTCTCTTTTTGGTTTGGTTGTTTCTTCTTGCATTTTATGATTCTTGTCAATCACATTTTATAATTTCTATGATTCTTTTGAAGGAAAACTAATGAAAAGCGCTTGAAAACTTTGAGTTTTAACGATAAGGACAAAATAAAGGGTAAAGTGAATAGTACCAGGATTGACTTTTTAGTGTAAAAATGTGGTTTTTCGTTAAAGTGAACAGTACCGGGAGCTTTTCGTTAAAGTTCCCTTCTTTTTGTGCTTAGTCTAGACTGGAAGGCGGCTTTTCTCTGATGGCTTCTATGCTTTTGTTTGTAATCGGTGTTTTCTATGTTTTTGCTTTCTAAGTTGTGTTTGTTTTCTGTTTTCTGGTTTGGTCTTTTGGACCAACCTCTTTGTTTTTTCTTTTGATCTTAATACAATCATTTCTTTATAAAAATGTTTCTTTTTATGACACCAGGAGATGCTTCATGATTTGCTTGACCGGGTCCTGTCTGCATGTAAAGCTGGCCTGGAGGACCCCGATGATGATGTTCGAGCAGTAGCTGCAGATGCTTTGATACCTACCTCAGCTGCTATTGTTGCTTTAAAGGGTGAAACTTTGCATTCTATAGTGATGTTGCTTTGGGATATATTACTTGATTTGGATGATTTAAGTCCATCCACTAGCAGGTACACTTGTTTGTTAATTATTTTGTAGTCAGTTTGTCTTTTTGTTTTCTATTAATATATGCATCATAGTTTTCTCAAGGTAATATGCCTCATGAGATAATTTATGACTTGCACACAAATAAGGAAAGTCTTGTGCGCACTCACTTCACTGAACAAAGAGGAGAGAAAGGATGGAGTTGGAGGAAGATTTGGAAAATTGGAGAGAAAAGGGAGAACAGAGGTTGTTATAAATATTTATAGGTGGTATTTGTGCATTGATTTCAGAAAGATGGTATTTTTGGAAAAACTTTGCAATCTGTGTTACATACGGCAATTTCCCTAAATGATATGGTGTGATATAAATTATGTGGTAAAAAAAAAGATTAGCCTTTTGACACACATCATCTTGATGTGGGGAATTTAGTTTGTCTTCTTTGGTTTGTATATGCATCTCGGGTTTCAGATGTCTTGTCCATATGTTTTATGCTTCTCAATTATTGTTATAAAGTTTGTGTTACACTTGCATGTTAATAGGAAAAAAAAAAAAAAAAAAAAACTTAATAAGCAGTTGTATTTTAATCTGCACTGTAAGTGATTAGAAAGATTCTTATTGGCACATTCTTATCCGCTTAAGAGGTATCACACGCTTGTAAATATAGTGAAAATCTGATATATAACTTATAACCAACTTTTGTCTAAATAGAATCTTAGTCCTTTCAATCGTGGATATTGTTTTTGCAGCGTAATGAATCTTTTGGCGGAAATCTATTCCCAAGAAGACATGATTCCTAAGATTTTTGAGGCATTGACATCAAAAGAGATTGATTTGAATGAATTGGGTAGCATTGATGATACGGGAGAAGGATTAATTTCGCAAGATAATCCTTTCATGTTATCAACGCTTGCACCGCGATTGTGGCCCTTTATGAGGCATAGTATCACATCAGTTCGTTATTCAGCTATCCGCACGTTGGTAAACTTCTCTTCTCTTGGCTCTGTTGTTTTGTTATCCAATTTTCAACCATTTTAAGAAATATATATATAAATTGTATATTAAAGTCTTTATTCATTTTGTCTTTTGTCACTACAAGCGTCTTGTTTCGTATAAAAACTTAAGATAAAGGATGAATTTAAGTTATATTTTGAGCAAGAAATAAAAAGGCCCAAAATAAAATATCTGTTAATGTATATTGACCGGCAACCAAGTTATGAAATCATGCCTATGATTCAATGCATAAATCAAGGCAGTTTCACCCTCGCCGCTTGCAAAGGCACCCCTATTGGCTTTGCGAGTGTTGTAACTATTTAAGAAACCAGATTTCCTGGTGTGCACACCACATTTTGACCTTTAATTATGTTCATTGGACAACAAGACAACCATTACAAATAATGAGAAGCTGATCGGATCTAGCAAGATGCTGCCAATCCCCATTGACCAGAATGTGACTTGCATTGACTTTTGGTCTGGTATCTGAGTGAACATGGCTAACAATAGCATTATTAGCAAAGCCAGATTATTCCTGTTGTCCCACCACAAGTGACGTGATTTTTCTATTACCATCTATCTAATGTTATATTTTCTTGTGTTTAAACATGTAATTATTTTATTGGTACTATTTTGTACGTGACATTTATAAAATGCTTACTTGTGGATCCAGGTTCTGATGTTCTTAAGTATGCATATAGACATGTTTGTTTGGGTGGGAGGGTGTATGCGTAATTATTTGTTTGCATGCCTGTAATATGTTGATGTACAGTTAATTCTCTACCATGCATTTTCATTTGCAGGAACGACTACTTGAAGCAGGATACAAAAGGAGTCTCTCTGAGTCTTCGAGTACTTCATTTTGGCCTTCTTTTATCTTGGGTGATACCCTTCGGATTGTTTTTCAGAATTTACTGCTTGAATCAAATGACGAAATTTTGAAACGTTCAGAGAGAGTTTGGGGGCTCCTTGTTCAGGTTCTTTACTTTGTGATAATGAATGGTTTTAATTGTACTTCTGTTTATTTCTTCTCGTTGAAGATGTATTTATCCTGCTTCTTGATTTTGTTCTCTTATGAAGTCTCCTTTCCTTTTACCTGGATATTGTTTTCCACATTTCTACATTTATATATGGAATTGACACGCCACATATTTCCATGTTTGCTCATCCGTTCATACTCGTTGGAAGGCAGCTATGGAGTTTCTATCATAGTTTTCTATGTGGCTGCTGTAGATCTCTGTTAATTTCCTTTTTGTTTCTGGATTCTGGTCGGCTTCTTGATCACTGATTGTGAATTTTTGTTATGATAAATGTTTCTTTTTAAAAATATATATTTACACACACACACACACACATATTGGTTGTTCTTAATTGTCCGAACTTGTAATGATTACCACCAGTGGTATCTATTGCTGTCTTTGCTTAATTTTCTTGATTTGATGCCTTTGCTCTTGCTTTCTGTTTCTTGCTTTTGGTTACATTTTATTGATTCTTATTTGTAAAAATTTATGCTAGTTCTAACACTTCTCTTTCCCCTCCCCCCCCCCCCCCCCCCCCCCCCCCCCCCAAAAAAAAAAACCGGCTGTTAACCAGTGTCCATTAGGTGACTTGGAAATTGCTGCAAGGTCATATATGTCCTCTTGGATAGGGCTTGCAACTACTCCGTATGGATCAGCATTAGATTCTACAAAAATGTTTTGGCCTGTTGCTCTCCCACGAAAGAGTCATTTTAAAGCAGCAGCTAAAATGAGAGCTGTGAATCTTGTAAATGAGTCTTGTAGAAACATCGGGTTGGAATCTTCGAAGGGATCCATTCCAGAAAAAGGTGGAGATGCTTCAACCAATAATGTTCAGATAGTTGTTGGTGCGGATGTTGAAATGTCAGTTACGCATACCAGAGTGGTTACTGCAGCAGCATTGGGAGTTTTTGCTTCTAGATTGCACGAAACTTCAATGCAGTATGTAATTGATCCACTGACTAAAGCATTTACCTCTTTATCTGGTGTCCAGCGGCAGGTACCATTTGATTTCAAATGCAAGTTTCTCCTCTTTTAGTATTGGTATATTTAATCATTACTCATATGCAATCAGATGGCATCTATGGTTCTTCTTTCTTGGTTCAAAGAGATTAAAAGTGCAGATGTGTTTGAAAATGCTGGAGTTATGCCAGGTTTTCTGAACCATCTCAAACATTTGATGTTGGATTTCTTGGCATGCTCTGAACCTGCTTTCCCTACAAACGATCCATGTCTTCCTTATGCCGAGCTTTCAAGAACGTATTGTAAGATGCGTTGTGAGGCTAGTCAGTTGTTAAATGCTATTCAATCATCGGGTATGTTTCAGAGTTTGTTGTCTACTACCAAAATTGACTTGGAAAGGTTGAACGTGGACAATGCAATTAATTTTGCATCGAAACTTCCAATGTTGTGTAACGATGTTGAGGGAAATGATTCTTTGGGAAGGCACATTGTTGACGATATAGAGTCAGCAAAACAACGACTTCTGACAACTTGTGGATATTTAAAATGTGTTCAGGTAATTGTGGGACATAATTGCATATTTTTGAACTGCTTCTTTAAGTGATAGGCTGAAGGATACTTCTTGTTTCTTTTTATTTTATTTATTTTTTATTTTTTTATTTTTTTTATGGAATTCTTTGAACAGTGTCCGACATTTTTCATTTTTATTGAGGGTTTTGTTATTCCCCATTTCTATAATTATATTTGAGTGGTTACCTTTTGCTCACTATTACATTCTGCAACAATCTGCAGAGCAATCTGCATGTTAGTGTCTCTTCTCTTGTTGCTGCTTCTATTGTTTGGATGTCAGAGCTTCCTGAACGACTAAATCCAATTATTTTGCCTTTGATGGCTTCTATCAAAAGAGAACAGGTAACCTCCTGTATATAATTGTTTTCTTAATTCTATGGTTGCTTAGTTATTTAATCTGATATGTCTTAAATCTCTTTGGAAGGAGGAAATACTACAAGAGAAGGCAGCTGAGGCACTTGCAGAGCTTATTTCTCATTGTATTTCACGTAGCCGAAGCCCAAATGATAAGTTAATTAAGAATATATGTAATTTAACATGCGTGGATCCTAGAGAAACACCTCAAGCTGCAGTCATCTGTTCCATAGATATTATTGATGACCAAGATCTCCTATCTTTTGGGACAAATACTGGTAAGCAGAAATCAAAGGTCATTCTGGCTGGTAACGAAGACCGCTCAAAGGTTGAAGGCTTTATTAGCAGACGAGGCTCTGAACTTGCCTTGAGGCATCTTTGTGTGAAGTTTGGTGCTTCATTATTTGATAAGCTTCCAAAACTATGGGATTGCCTCACTGAAGTGCTTAAGCCTAGTAGTATTGAGCCCCTTAATCCTGCAGATGAAAAGAAAATTACACAAACTCTAGAATCTGTGAAGGATCCCCAGATCTTGATCAATAATATCCAGGTTCTTATCATCCTTGATTTAGTTGGTTATTTAACTTCTATTAAATCTTGTGACTGCATTCAGTACAAATATTTTTGCGTATGATAGTGCATATGCATCATTAAATGTCAAATGGTGTTACAAATATGAAAATTCAGTCTATTAATTTAAAGCTCCATTATTACTTTAAAATGATGGGATTCAGGACCACTAATAAAGATAAGGGACCAGAATGTTAGGATTTGGTTTGTCTTTCGTTAGGTGTCCTCTTTTGCTTAGGATTGTATTAGGAAAGCTAAAGGTGCACAGATTCTTTTCCTACAAGGATTAAGAAGGGATAAGTTTTCTTGTACAATTAGATTAGGAATCCTAAAAGCAGAAACAGAATAGGAATGCAAGTGTGCTTTCCTATCCCAAATAGATTAGGATACCTAATTAGATTATGGGAGTGTAAACCGCACCTTATACTTATAAATAGGGTGCGATAAGGGCTGAAAAGCTAGCAGAAAACAGAGACAGCCGAGAGAAGATAGGGGTTAGTTCTAGGGTTTGCAAAGTACATTATTAATCAAAGAAGCCGTGGTTTCTCTACCCAGAGAATTCACAACTGGACGTAGACAAAAGCTGCATAATCAGGATAAATCTTGTATGTTTCTAGTTATCTCTATTTGTTAAGTTTAGTTTATTGTCGGATACATCAAAGAACAAGATCTGGAGGGGAGTCAAAATAACAACAAATATCAAGAGCTCGGTTCAAGATGCTATGCGATGGCAAGGATGACTTCATAGACTAGCAAGGGATGATGAAGAACGTACTAATACAGCAAGAGTTGGATGATGTACCCTTTGGTGAGAAGCCAAAGGCCATGACAAAACCGACATAGACCAAGATTCTCAAGAAGGCGAACAGTTCCATCGAGATTCATCTCACAAAATTATTCAGGTCCCACATGACAGAAACGATAACTGCTAAGAAAGCATGAGACAAGTTGGAGAAGTTGACAAAACCATGTCCAATAAACTATTTCTCAAGGATGAATTATTTGGGCTTCTGACTGGAAGAAGGATGTCGAAGAAACTGACAAAGATGATGATATGGCTATCATCTTGCTAAGGTCTCTACCCTCGTTTTTCAAGCACTTTCGAATAACTTTAATGTTTGGAGAGGAGTCCCTACAGCTTGAGTATGTAATTCAAGCTCTTCGGTGATATGCTAAACTAGATGATATAACTGAAAGCTCTCAAGGCCTTTATGCCAAAGGAAAGGAGAGGGGGCGGGCAAAGGCGAAGGAAGAAAAGAACGTCAACAAGGGTAGGTCGAAATCCAAGAAAAAAAAATAAAAGAAGGTTGCAAGAAGGGATGTCGAATTGCAAGCTGGATTTTTGTGAATTGTGTTCTCAAGAAGCAAAGAAAGGTATTGTTCGCAAGTACCAGTGTAAATAAGCAAGGAGCAACTCAACTATATTCACTTAGATGTTTGGGTCTTGTGCCAACTAAATCCTATGGTGGATCTAGGTATTTTGTTACTTTTATAGATGATTTTCCTAGAAAATTTTGGGTTTATTTATGAAAGAGAAATTTGAGGTTTTTGCAAAGTTCTCGGAATGGAAGACAGAAACCGAGAATCAAATTGGAAGAATGATCAAGTACATGAGAAGCGACAATCGAGGTGAGTATGCAAGCAAGGAGTTTGTTGATAATTGTAACCAGAAAGGCATCACGAGGCATTTCATAGTAAAGAAGAATCTCTAACAAAACGAAGTTGCTCAGGGAATGAATAGAACTTTGGTGGAAAGAGAGAAGCATGAGATTTCATGCAGGATTGGATGATAGTTTTTGGGCAGAGGCGGTTAATCATGCAAGTTACTTGATTAGGAGTGCAGAAACGATGCCTCTCAACAAAGTCAAGAGCATTGGAGAGAAGAAGAAGATGCTGAAGAAGAAGCAACAAGAATTCCATTCATCAGACCAGGGGAAGATGAAGCTCAGGTGGGAGCCAATTGAGCAAGGGTTCGAATCTGATAATTTTGAGGAAGAAGAAGAGCATCAACATCATCACCAGGTAGGAATCAGGTAGAGCAAGAAACAAGGCATGTTGCAGACACTCTAATTTGCTCAAACATCCCAAGGGGTTCAAATTCCAACCTACATTTTACCTGCATTCTAGAGATGCATGGCACTTGCAAACCCATTCGAAACAAGAAGTGACCTAACAAGTTTGGGTTTGATTGACCAAGACAAAGTTGATTATGCTTTTAACATCAATCAAGGAGATCCATCTACTTATCAAGAAACTGTAGCAAATGATGAATGAGATAATTGGATAAGTGCTATGACAGAAGAAATACTCTGTTCAAGAACTCTGTTTGAGAGTTGGTTCCGAAGCCCAATGATAGAAAGCTAGTTGGATGCAAGTGGATGTATAGGAAACAAGGATTACATGAACAAGATGCCATGAGATTCAAAGCAAGGTTCGTGACAAAGGGATACTCACAGAAGGAAAGGGTGAACTATGATGAAGTCCTTTCACCCGTGGTCAATCATACTTTTATCAGATTGCTTTTACGAATGGCAGCACAACATGGCAGAGAGATTGAGCAGATGGATGTGAAGACTGTGTTTCTCTATGAGGGTCTAGAGGAGACGATTTTCTTGGCTCAACCAGAAGGGTTTGTTGAGTATGGGAAAGAGAACCTAGTGTGTCGGGTTAGGAAGTCCTTGTATAGCCTGAAGCAGTCTGTAAGGCAGTGGTACAAGAGATTTGACTCCCTTGTGCTGAAAATTAATTTTAGAGATGCTATATGATTGTTGTGTACTATCATGTATGTCAAGATGGGATGTTCATATAGCTGTTGCTATATGTGGATAACATGCTAATTGCTTGTCAAGACAAGTCTAGAATTCAAGACTTAAAGAATATGTTGAGCAAGGAGTTTGACTTGAATAATCTAGCCATTACTTTGTTCTCCAAAGGATAAAACGAGTGTAAGAGGTTAAACAATGTCACTTTAAAATTTATGAGGGTGTTACAGGGTTTGAAAATATTCATTAAAATTTAGTCGGCATCAACCTACAGACTGCTTTCAAAAAATGTTGTCTAGACACCATTGCTTTTAAAACAAGCATGATATTTTAGTTTTATCGAACACTTTTTTATGGCTTAACATTAAAGAGAGCAATTTTTTGTGGAAAAAAGTAATACCAAACATGGTCTAAGTTCCGAGAAACAAGTGATGGAGAAGGTGCCCTAGGCTAATGTCATGGGCTGCCTAGTATGTGCAATGGGATAATGTTGATGCCGACTATGTAGGGGACTTGGACAAGAGAAGGTTGGAAGGCTAACCAATTGTAGCTTTGTGGACCACATAAGCGTAGTACATTGCTTTGGCCGAAGTTGGAAAGGAAGCAATTTGGCTTAGTGGTTTGGTGAGCCAAATGGGAATCACTCAGGATTACATGAAGCTTAAATGTGACAATCAAAGTGCCATTCACTTGGCAAAGAATCTGTTTTTTTATGGAAGATCAAAGCACATGAAGTGAGGTATCACAGAATGCAGGATTGGGTGGAGTCCGAGGAGATTTGGGTTGAAAAGGTTTATACGGACAACAGGGGCATAGATTTTCATACCAAGATAGTGTCAGCCAAGGAATTCAATCATTGCTTGAACTTGATCAATCTAGTAGATTGATTAAGGTGGATCACCGCCTCACTTGAGGTTTAATGAGGCAAGAATAAGTTTGCCAAGGTGAAGGTTCTTGAAGTTTCTGAGCTGCTTCAAGAATGGTTGAATATACTCGAGTTTGGTTTGGGGCTTCTTCAGGGTTTAGGGTTTGTATACTTTGGGGTGCAACAGTCCAAACTTGGTTAGACTCACCAAGGTGGAGATTGTTAGGATTTGGTTTGTCTTTTGTTAGTTCTATTTTGTTTAGGATTGTATTAGGAAAACTAAAGGTGCACAGATTCTTGTCTTACAAGGATTAGTAAAGATAAATTTTCTTGTACAATTAGATTAGATCCTGATAGTAGAAACAGAATTGGAATGCAAGTGTGCATTCCTATTCCCAAATAAATTAGGAGACCTAATCTGATTATAGGAGTGTAAATGGCACCCTATTTATAAATAGGGTGTGGCACTGAAAAGCTAGCAGAAAACAAAGAGAGAGCAAGAGAAGAGAGGGATTAGTTCTAGGGTTTGCAAAAGTATTGTATACTCGATTATTAATCAATGAAGTTGTGGTTTCTGTACCCAAAGAAATCACAATAGTACGTAGGCAAAAGTTCTGCCGAACAAGTATAAATCTTGTGTGTTTCTAGTTATCCTCAATTGCTAAGTTGAGTCTATTGCCGGATACATCAAAGAACAAGATCCAAAGGGGAGTCGAAATATCAACACGGAGACCAATCAGGGTTGCAGAATTAAGGAAAAGTAATTACATGAACTGAGATGTCGTGGGTATGTGGAATGAAAACGGAAGCTCATGCAATTTGTTTTACCTTTTCCTTTTTAAAATTTTTGATACTGTCTAAAATATTAAGTGTGTATTGACCCAAAAAAAATAAGAGTGAATTTGAAAATAATAAGATCAGAGAACTAGAAGAAAAGGGGAAGATAAATTTAAGAAGCACATCTATCTTTACTCAACATGGCAACTTGAAGCTGCTTCACTCAATTCTTAAATGGTTTTGTGCTTGTAGTAATTTCGTGGTTAATAGTGGCCATCCTTAATTTCTTGACTCCTTATTTTTCTTAAGGCCAAGGGTTAAAAAATAAAGACTAACCCAATCTTATTAGAAGTTCTTTTGTTCATGCTTTGTTTCTAACTATTTGGCTCACCTTGTTGCATTAGCTGCTAATGTCTATTTTATCCATAACAATCTAGATGTATTGATAAATGACATTTTCCTTCTTTTTGGGTTTTCTTTCTAGTTCTGAACTATCTACCTTTACTTGATTGTAAATTAGGACATAACATTTTTAGGAATTTGAGATTCTAACTTGAGTTATTGCATTACAAATGGTAAGCCATCAAAATTTGTGGACCTACAGACTTGAAACCTAAATTTTGTCTCAAATTTTGCAGGTAGTACGTTCTATTGCTCCAATGCTAAATGAGGATTTGAAACCAAAACTACTCACCCTTCTTCCATACATATTTAAGTGTGTTCGCCATTCCCATGTTGCTGTTAGATTGGCTTCCTCTAGATGCATCACCACAATGGCCAAGTCAATGGAAATGCATGTGATGGCAGCTGTAATTGAAAATGTCATACCCATGTTAGGGGATATGACATCTGTTGATGCCAGACAAGGTGCAGGCATGCTTATTAGTTTGCTTGTCCAAGGACTGGGTGTGGAGCTGGTTCCATATGCTCCTTTCTTAGTTGTCCCTCTTCTAAGGTGTATGAGTGATTGTGATCAGTCTGTCAGACAGAGTGTGACTCACAGCTTTGCTGCTCTTGTACCTCTTCTTCCACTCGCACGGGGCCTCCCTCCACCTGTTGGACTAACTGAAGGTTTCTCCAGGAGTGCAGAAGATGCAACATTTCTGGAGCAACTACTTGACAACTCCCATATTGATGATTACAAGCTTTGTACTGAACTGAAAGTGACACTGAGAAGGTAGCTAAAATACTTAATCTTGAATGAAGTCGTAGCTAAGCCTAAAACTTTTAAACTTGACTTGATATTTATCTTTGCAACAGCTAAGACTACAATTCTAAATGAACTGGGGACATTTTTAATTATGTTTGTGCCTAGTTTATTCGTGATGCATAGCTATATTCTAAACCCATGTTTATAATGTATACTGGTTAGAATTGTGGAAGAGGGGAAATATATCTTGATTGTTGTATATCTTACTGGTAGAGTCACTTAGAAGTTTGGTTGCCGAGGTTGACTGTTAGTTGGGTGGATATAGAAGCACTCTATTTTTTAGGGCTTACTATTATGTTTAAATTGGTTTGACTTTGTACCGCATCAACATTCTGGTTCCTAACAGATCCTTTTGGTTATAGGTATCAACAGGAAGGCATAAATTGGTTGGCCTTTTTAAAACGTTTCAAGCTTCATGGAATCTTATGTGATGATATGGGTCTTGGTAAGACACTTCAAGCATCTGCTATTGTGGCTTCTGATATAGTTGAGCATCGAACTTTGAATGATGGCAATCCTCCCTCATCTTTAATTATTTGCCCATCAACACTTGTTGGACATTGGGCCTTTGAGATAGAGAAGTACATTGATCTTTCCATAATATCTACACTCCAATATGTTGGTTCTGCGCAAGAGCGCATTTCTCTTCGAGAACATTTTGAAAAGCATAATGTGATAATAACATCATATGATGTGGTTCGCAAAGATATTGATTATCTTGGGAAGCTTCTCTGGAACTATTGTATCTTAGATGAAGGACATGTGATCAAGAATGCAAAGTCGAAAATTACACTTTCAGTGAAGCAATTGAAAGCCCAGCATCGTTTGATATTAAGTGGAACACCAATCCAGGTTGGTCTTTCACTGATTCATGAAATTAGCTTAAAACTGATTTTCTATTTTCTTCTGAAAAGGAACCTACTGTTTGTTGTAGAATAACGTCATGGATTTGTGGTCCCTTTTTGATTTCCTAATGCCCGGCTTTCTTGGAACAGAGAGGCAGGTGTGTTTTCTCCTTCTTCTGTTATATATTATATTCTTTTGTTTGTTTTCTTTACTTGAATCTTTTTATGTGGCAGATAAAATTATCTTATAGAAGTAAACATAAAAATAAACTCTGAAAACACATGGTGGCTTTCAGGCTAAACCCACATAAATATTTCTCTGATAGATACCCACATAAATCTTTACAGGAACAAATAGATTAATTTGGCCATTTTGCTTGGTAGTTTGGAAAAATATTAAACCCTGCTCTCTGGGAGCAGAGGCTCTGAGTATCCACTTTTGTAACTTTGGTCTACAAAGACTACTTATAAAGTGTTGGCTGATATGAGTTGAAGCAGAACTCTTGACTAAAGTTTGAACAAGAAATCTCGTATAAATAAAAGAGTTGATTCTATGGAATAAATGTAGATTGGAGGCAGTAGATTCATAGGATTCATATTTGACTTATTGTATTTGGTTTCATACTTGATCTAGATAGTTTGTATTGCTATGTATATCCTCCAAATTGGAGAATAACATAATCAAGAGAGAAACTACTCTGATTTCACACTTAAAAGTTGAAAATTTTAGATGCATGTACATTCTGTGTACGCATTTCCCTGGATGATTGTCAGTCTGATATGATAAATAAATAAATCTGTTGTTTCAATGTCATTTGGGCAGTTCCAAGCCACTTATGGAAAACCACTGGTGGCAGCCAGAGATCCTAAGTGCTCTGCCAAGGATGCTGAAGCAGGTGCACTTGCAATGGAAGCATTGCACAAGCAGGTAAATTTCCTTCCTTTTTATGATTCCATCCTCTTTATTGGTTTTGTTTTTTTGTTTTTGCAAATTAAACTTCTTAAAAAAATTGTGCTACTTGATGTTTGACCCCTTGGTAGTTGACCTTGCAATCTCACTGGAAACTGATGTGAAAAATAATACTATGGTCAAACTTTTACAAGTGTATATGAAATTTTCCATGCATTCCAAGTTCTGGAATTTTAAAGAGTGCAAATTGTTCACTGAGATTCTTTTCTGGTGAAATTAGCTGGCTTAGTACTTACTGTTGGCAAAAGTGATAAGAGTTGTGCAGAAATTGTTGTACTTTTCTAACTAAAAAATATTCTGTCAAATAGGTCATGCCTTTCCTCCTCCGTCGAACAAAAGATGAAGTCTTGTCTGATCTTCCCGAGAAAATTATTCAGGACAGGTTCTGTGACCTGAGCCCTGTACAATTGAAATTGTATGAACAGTTTTCTGGGTCACATGTGAGACAAGAGATCTCAAGTATTGTAAAACAAAATGAGTTAGCAGATACAGGAGGGCGTAGTGAATCACCTAAAGCTTCATCCCATGTTTTTCAGGTAATTTTGTTATTTATTTTTGTATTTAATTCTCTTTTGCTTCAGTATGCTCCTATCATTGAATGGATGTTACTTGTTCTTGTTTCAGGCACTTCAGTACTTGCTTAAACTTTGCAGTCACCCATTGCTTGTTCTTGGAGAAAAGGTCCCTGATTCAATTGCATGCCTTTTGTCCGAGCTACTACCGGGAGGCTTTGATACAGTTTCAGAATTGCACAAACCATACCACTCTCCCAAACTAGTTGCTCTTCAGGAGATTCTTGAAGAGTGTGGAATAGGTGTTGATGCTTCTAGTTCTGAAGGTGCCATAAGTGTGGGGCAGCACAGAGTCTTGATATTTGCTCAACATAAAGTATTGTTCGTTTATGTTTGACTTATTCAGTTAATTCTCTTTTAAACTACCTGTGCTTAGCTTACATTAGCTTACATTCATGGTTTATAATGTGCAATGCCTTCTCATGCAGGCATTTCTGGACTTAATAGAAAGAGACTTGTTTCTCACTCATATGAAGAGGTTGGTCTCCTGAACCTCTATCATGCATCTGTGTTAGTTGCTTTAGTCTCCTAATCTTATGAAAGACTGTTTTGGAGTGGAAAGTTATTCTAGTGTTGATTCTCTCATAATCTTGACCCACAATTCTGATAAGTAACAGTATTACATGAGTTTTAACTATTTCAGTTAGAAATCTGTTTTGTTGGACCTAGAAAAATTAATATGCCAGAAATCGGTGGGTTGAGTACATGTGACAAATAAATTATTAGATATGGTGGGTATAACTGTAAAAGAATCATTATCTAGTATAGTGAATTTGTGTAATTGCTTTCACAGTGTTTGTCCTCTTGTATATTATAGTATAGTATAGTATAGTATAGTATAGTGATCTAATGGTCTTACATGTTGCTTGAAAGCAGTGTAACCTACTTGCGGCTGGATGGGTCAGTTGAACCTGAAAAACGTTTTGATATTGTCAAAGCTTTCAATTCGGACCCTACAATCGATGTTCTGCTACTCACAACCCATGGTTGGCTTTTTATCCTTTGCTTGCGTACTAGATTCACAGTCAAGAGTGTTACTAAGTCTAAAATTGAATCACTTTCTGCAGTTGGTGGGCTGGGGTTGAACCTGACATCTGCAGACACACTCGTTTTCATGGAGCATGACTGGAACCCCATGCGGGACCATCAGGTGACTGTCTTTTGCTGTCTTTATCCTCTAAGGAGTCTAAATTTCATCTCTTGAAATTGGAATCATAGGCTATCTGTCACATTTTATGTCTAGTGTTCAGGAAAAGATCTCTCGGATGAACTTCAATAAAGCTCCCTAATTGCTCATCATCTTCTCTTGAAATTGGATAGACACCAGCTGCCATATTTCAAGTCTAGTTTTCAATAAAAGATCTCTGAGATGAAATTCAGTGAAGCTCCCTAATTGCTCAGCATTATTCATTCTTATTTACCTTTTTTTTTTTTTTCACTTGCAGGCAATGGACAGAGCACACAGATTAGGTCAGAAAAAAGTTGTCAATGTCCATCGCCTTATTATGCGTGGCACTCTCGAAGAGAAAGTTATGAGCTTGCAAAAGTTTAAGCTTTCAGTAGCTAATGCAGTCATTAATGCTGAAAATGCTAGTATGAAAACCATGAACACAGACCAACTGCTTGATCTATTTGCTACTGCAGAAACATCTAAAAAGGTATCGCTAGCTGGTCTATCTTCTGCATGTTCATGCCGATGTTGAACCTATATGATAACCATGTTATTGTTTTTCTTGTGGTTCTTTTGGATGCTGCACACATTTACAGAAGCTAATACGAGTTTCTACAAGTTCTAATTGAATTGTTATGTGTCTGCTGCAAGTTCTTAGTTGATGTCAATGACATGTTTCAACTATTTGTTTGTTTCCTAGGGAACTTCTATATTAAAGCATCCTGATGGAAAATTTGATGGAGATATGAAATTAATGGGCACTGGAAAGGGGTTGAAAGCAGTTCTTGGTGGGCTGGAGGAGTTGTGGGATCAATCACAGTACACCGAAGAATACAATCTCAGTAACTTCTTGGCAAAGCTTGATGGTTGATGTGAAGCTGACGACTCTGTACAGTATATTTCTGCATCATGTAAGGACCCAAATTTTGACATTGTAGCTCAAGGCGTACTCCTGCCTTTTCATTAGTTCTCCCATATCGTTATAATTTCAGGACGTTGAGGGCAAGAGTTGAATGAGTGGTTCCAAAGCCTGTCATTACCGTGCCTTGCAAAGTCATGGAAAAGGCAAAGAACAAACAAGCATACAATTTCCATGGGATTTGCAAAGACATGAGCAAGTATATCTTGCAAAGGCATGCTAAAGGAAAGGCATGAACAAGCATGCAGTGACAATCAACCTTTTTTTTTTTTTTATTTTTTTTTTTATTTGGAACAAAAAGCATATATGCCTTTAAAATGTGTAAACAAGGCATGGTTGAAGGCAACGTAAGGCACCACTTATGTCACAAGGGTGACTAGTCTAAAGCTGCCCAAAAATGATTTCTAGGTTGAGAAATTCTCTGCTGTGGTATTGGGATACACTTAATTCACCACATTGTTTAAGTTAAAATTTTAAATTTTAAATGATTTCTGACCGCATTAAGTACGATGAACGAACACGATTACAAAATCTCTAATAAAAGAATTCGGCAAGAACCCTTTTCCCTTTAACTGAACTCTCAATTTAATAGTGTTAACATTTTTTAATATGTATTTAAAAACAAAAACTTATTCCATTAAAGAAAACCAGAACAATAAACACACCAAAACCCAACACAGGAACTCTCTCCAATATTTTCCCAGCAAATATGTTAGAATAGTCACCCCAACAGCCCAACCAATTGTTACCGTCGACAGCAATTCTCACCGTCACTGAAGCTTCCTTTCCACTCTCTTTTTCTATCCCTGACCAGCGAAGTCGCATAGGATGAATTAATCAAATCTTGCCATCGGTTCAGATCTCGCTGTTTATTGTTGTCGATTCAAATCGGGTTTATGTCGATCGACCAAATTTCTTCCTTCCTCAAACCAAAATTTACATTAAATTTGTTGTTTGACGAGCTGGTCAATCACAATTAGGTATTTTGAACAGACAAGAAAATGGCGGAGGAGAGAAAAAAAGAGGTTTCGTCGGGGAAGAAGAGGGATGTTTCATGTTTGTTTGCTGGGAAAAGATTGGAGGAAGTTTCAGACTTCCAATGTTGGTTTGTTGTGTTTTTGTTTTTGTTGAGGTTAATATGTTAATATTGGGCTTAACTGAAGGAAGGCCCAAAGGCGCTAAAACGAGATGATCTTGCCCGAAGCCCAGCTACGAAGCCTGAAGCAAATTGAAGCCTTCTTAGCCAAGGCATAGGCTATGTGCCTATGATTGAAGTGACAAGTGACAGAGACCAGCTCATTACCAACTAAAAAGCATTTTTTTTATGGCATAAAGGTGTAAATACAAGACGACTCAGTACCCCTGAAAACCTTTGGCCAAGAGTGAAGCTAAAGCAATCGGACCATGTTGCATATAAAAGCCAAGATAGACAATAGAAACAAAAACACTCAACCAATCAAACAAACAACATACCAACTCTGCTTTCAAGCCAGATTTGCATACAGAAAACTGAAATCAACATAGATTCAGTCATTTTAGCTATAATTCCCTTAGAAAAACTATCTTTTGTCTAGTGTAAAAGCTATGTTACCTTCCTTAATGTTGTAGTATCGATTCCCTCGTGTAAAACCTGTTTACCATCCATCCATTTTTAGCTTACAACCTCTGTAAACACGAAGAGAAGTGGCTGCAAGAAGTTCAACCTTACCCGACAAGGTGAAATCTTGCCCAAGTCTCTTTATTTGTACTTTAGCTTAATAGATCTATCGTCTAAATGTAGATTTTAGCATGTATTCAAGGTATAGTAAGGTAGAGTGTCTAGTTCCAAATTTGTACATCAATGATTTGTGGAATAAATGGGTCGTTTGTAAGATAAATTAATACTTAGAACTTAAATTAGGGTTTGTATTTCATGTTAGGGCCTATGGGTTGTGAAATAAATTTTACTTTTTGACGTGTTAAAAATTAGGATGAAACAATTTCGGATTCAAGTGTCTAATTGCATAAATTTGTGAAGATTTTTCTGTAATGTACATGTGGTGTGCATATGGTATGCATAGCTACACTTAATATAAGAAGCGGGAATGTTCACTAGTTATAATACATGTATGTTGGGCCCCGAAATTTAGCGAGTATGACCACAACCTAGTTGGCCTTGTCGAAAAACAAAATTAAGAAAAAACTTAGAGGATGTTAAGGGTCATGCGTGTCCTTAAAATAACGACAACGAGTATCATGTTTTCCAAATGCACGATTAAGCGCTTGTTGATATATGTAACAAGACTTTTCAAACTGCCACTATAACCTTATATACGTAACTTTTATGTTTTAATTGTATCCACTATACCAATAGATTGCTGTTAAAGTTTCTTATTAATGCGAAAAGCGGCTCGTTGCTTGACCTCCAGTTCTGTGCATATCATGTGCATGTACTATACATAAGATGTGCACGTGGTGTGTATATAGTGTATATGGTGGTGACATCACAAGTAATGAGGTCATTTTTCTAATTTTGAAGAGAGAGTTGTGAGCTCTGGGTTTTAGGGTTGGCTAAAATCTGTGAGCATATCATGTGCTTGTCGAGTGCATGTCACTAGAAATAGATGATTTGTAATAGGATTTCTAGAATCTAGGTTCAAGTCAAAGATTTGTAAACTATAGATATCTAAGGGATTTCTGGAATTTGGGCCCTTACATATCTCCCAACGCCGTTAATTGCACGATGGGATGTCCACAACAAAACTAACATCATTGCACATATGATACAAATAACAAATTTGAGATTTTCTTTGAACTTAAAGGGAGAAGGCGTTCATCGGCGAAGGAGAGAAAGATTGCAGCAGAAAAAATGGTGTCTTTAGTTTTTCATAATGGATTTTCTTAGACATCTGAAATTTTTTTGGACTGCATATTGGTTTTGACCCATATGGGTTTTGAATGGGATTTCGAATTTGGGGAAGAAGATGATGATTTGAGGAAGAAATTCCCAACTTGCATGATAGAAATGTGTTCATTTTCCAAAAGGGTCAATTAGCAAACACAAACAATCTCCAAATAAATCAAATCTTCCATCTGGGTTTTCCATTATCTTTCACTAATTCAATAAATATCAATTTTAGAGAGAGTGAGGGGGAGGGAGAGAAAGTAGAGAGAAATCAAAACATGGAAGGAAATAACTCATTTATATACTGATAGGAGCATATTTATGCGACTTTGTTATCTTATTTCTTTGCATTTACTTAGTTAATTTCCATTTATTATAGTATTTTAAGTTATTTTCATATTATTGTAGGTCCAGTTGGTAAAGAGGATAATAAATAGTCAAATGGAGCAATTTGGAGCAGTTTTGGGCATGTGTTAAAATCTGGAGAAATTAAAGTTGAAGCTTGGAAGGCAAGGAATTACACAAGAAATTGGGATATGGGAAAGGAATTAGGATATCTAGCCTGATTTGGAGGTGCTAAATAAAGCAAGAACATGCAAAATAAAAGCTAAGTTGCTGGGATCACTTTGGAATATCTTGCAGCCTCTTTTACCCCATAAAAACTTGCCTTTTTGCCACTTTTTGTGAAATCCAGTTCCCGGATTTCACTGTTATAATCTACGTATTTGTATTATTGAGATTTTATATTATTTTTTTTCGAGAATTTATATCAATTTATTTGAATCTAGATTTTAATTAAAGTAGTTACAAAGTTTGAAGTTTGAAAGTTAATTATTTAAAATCCGTAGACCTTTTGAGGTCACAATTTATATTTTTGAATATAGGTCGATCACATGAACATGTAGGCGCAAACTATTCGTGAAACGGTGTTATAACAAAAAAGTTATTAACGTTTGAAGTTAGGGACATTTTTGTAATTTGGCCCTTATTTAGAAGGCTTCAGATTTTCTTGAGCAAAGGAAAGACGACGTATGTGGTTGGGATGAAAGGAAAATAAAAGAAATGGGAGGGATAAACGGTTGGGATGGAAAGTAGAGAAGAGAAAGGAGAAGAAATGAGGGAAAGGATGGGGGAGGACCAATCAGAAAAGAAGGAAAGGAGGGGAAGCGGGGGATCCTCTACTCGTCCCTCTTTTTCGACCCGACCTGGTTTCCATTTATGTTCTTCAGCGAATTTTGTCGATTTCTCCGGTGAACCAAGTCACCTAGCCATCAGGAAACATTCCCCAACATTCCCTCATCCTATGACACCCCAAAATCAGAAGTATTTGGCTTGGAATTCGGAAAAACCGCACTAATGGGTGCGGGTGTCCTTGCGTCGATTCTCCAATTTTGGAAATAATTTCCTTCAATCACCACCACCTATAGCATCCTCTTGAACCCAGGAACAAAGCCCAAACAATTTTGGGGGCGACGAAGTTGTTTTGGAGTCGAATCAAGAGCACCCAAATCAAGGGTTTCTAGAGGGTTCGAGGTAAATTGGAGCCTTTCCTGGCCAATTTGGCCTTGGTCACAGGTATAAAAATTTCTCTATTCATTGAGATCTTCATTTCTGTAAATTTTGGTAATTTTTGGAAATAGTTGAATTTTCCGGCAAGTCAGGGCGGTTAACTGCCACCCGCAACAGCGCGTGTGGCGGTGCATGGCTAGTGGGCCGATGATGTATTTCTAAGTTCAATTATATGCCATGATTTCATAATTGATACCCGTATGATGTGGTTTGATTGATTGAATGTAGTTTCATTACGATACATCACTTGACCTTTGTATGAATCGACGATCCGACAATTGGATCGTCACCAAACTTTGATACATTATAGTGCATAATATTTAAGGATCATAGGAACTGACGGATCATAGTGCATAATATGTATTTCTAAATATTTAAGGATCATAATATTTAAGGATCATAGGAACTGATGGAATTTGTGGTAGGCGGAGATCCGACTGTCAGATCGTAGTGAGATTTTAGTATGTTATTCTAGAAGCATAATGTGGACCTTAGGAACTTACGGATCAGAAATTTGATAAGCGGATCTTTCGGTTTAGATTTCTAGGATTGTGGACCCTACCCTCGACCTTGTTCGATGGTTGACTTTTCAGTCAACTAGCATGAGTTCTTCTAGCATGTTGCCTATCTTAGAGTGCGGTTGAGATGTTATGGAGCTTGATGGACTCATCATGATAACATGTCTCCTTGATTGACGTGCACCTCGATTTACATAATGATGGCATTATATGGTGATATGCTTGTCTATTTTACGTGATTTGACCTGTGTATTAAACTTGTTGTGGAATGTGTAGTTTGATTTATATAATTGGCTTGAAGTGATGAAATGTGAAGGCTAGTAGTGGATCTTTAACCCATTGTCATGGGGCTTGTTACTTCGACACTTTTTTCACATCTTGTTCCCTTATTTCACTTTTGTGTCGTTCAGCCCTTCTAAATTGAGTACTTGGTTCTTGTATTGTTTTTTCGAGCCATTGTTATATTCCTTGGCCTTCCACTCGTTTCCATTGAGTGATACAGAACTGGGTATCTGCTGAGGTTTCGTTGAGAGATCCGGTTCCTTGCTCCGTCTGGATTCCGTTGAGTGATGGTCTGGAATCCTTTATACTCTATGATTTCGTTGAGTGATGGTCTATAATCGTATCCTGCCTTGGATTTCATTGAGAGGTTCGTTATGCATTCTACTCTGCGATTCCATTGAGTGATGGTCCAGAATCGTATCCTGGTTTGGATTCCGTTAAGTAATGGTTCAGAATCCCTTCTATTCCGCGATTCTGTTCCACGATTTCATTGAGTGATGGTCTGGAATCATATCCAGCTTGTATTTCATTGAGTGGTTCTATATGCATTGTACTTCGCGATTCTGTTGAGTGATGGTCCGGAATCGTATCCACTCGAATTCCGTTGTGTAATGGTCTGGAATCCCTTCTACTCCGCGATTCCATTGAGTGATGGTCCGAAATCATATGCTGGTTTGGATTCCGTTGAGTTGTCCAGAATCCCTTTGGTGTCTTGTTTCCTTGGATATGATTTCAGTTTCAAAGATGTAGGCTTCGGCCGAACTGTGTCGCTCTAGCCCTTCATTTTAGTGTATTGTATGTGTTATTGTTTGGTGTGATCATTAGATGTTGTTGGATATGGTTGTGATTGTTGGCGTTATAATTAGACTTGTTGATCAGTATGGCTAGAGATTATTATTGTGCTTCATCGTTGTTATTTGAAATATGGCTAGAGATTTATGTTACGATTGGGCGAATATTCCTCGTGATGTGATACATGTAGTGTGGTATTATGTTGAGGCATGATGATTTATGTGATGAATGTTTGAGTGTGGTGAAATGATGAACTACAAATGGCTTAATCCCTGTTTAGGGTACTTAGGCAGTCTAACGAGAAAGTTAGATGCAACCATAAAGCATACGAAAAATTATTACGCAGTTGGATCTTGAGTTATGCCTTGTACATATCCCGGAGGCAGAATTTGTTAGATATACGGATGCTGGGTGACGTCACGCGTCGATCCTGGACGTATGTCGAGTTTGGGGCGTGACACTTTTACATGCCCTTTTTATTCTAGGCGAATTACCCAATTTTGATTACCTATTTTTCCTCTCTTTTCATTCACTCTAAAGAAAACCCTAGCCGTGCCCTATATATATAGGAATTGTTCTGCAACGTGAAAAAAAAGGGTGCCATGCTTACCATTCATCCATTGAAGTTGTTGGAATTTTTAGAGTTTTTTCTCTTTTTGTTTTAAGTTTCAATGTTTATTTTAGATTTTTTTTCAGTTATGATGAACATGTGTAACTATGTTTCTTTTTAGCTAGAGGTGAATTCGAAGCCATGGTCATATGTTTTATATAAATTGATTACATCCAGTTATTGTTTCATAAAATATGAATGCAATTTACTTATCTGCTTTATAAAAAACTTATTCTTCTATGTTTATTAAAGATGCATACTTAGTTTGCCTGCAGGGATTTGATGTTAGAATATAAGGGAATTTCACCTAATCGTTATGAACTTATATTTACAAGTAGTAAAAGTCACTAGTCATGACTGAGTTAAGTAAATTATTGGCAAGAGTATCATGATTTTCATAGTTACGAATGCTTTTGTCAATACTTATAATTTTCACAGAACTTAATGATCATCGAGATGTATCTCTATCATGCTTTTCATAGTTAGGGAACTTGAGAAGAATAATTTGGTTGCGTCATTGAGTCCAATTCAATGAACTTAAGAAAATCTGAGTGTTAATTAGTGTTGTACACAGTTAATTTGGGGTATTGTCATTCATAGTTTATAGAAAGAATAATTGGAAATCAATTTGTATGCATATGATTCATGTGTGGAGAAGAATCATTTAACTATCCTTTCATCCATATTTCATTCACAACTTAATTTACTTGCTGTCATTTACTTTTGTTTTTATTAAATTCGTCTAAAATCCCCCCAGTCATTGTTTTATTATTAGTTTAACTTAGTTTTCAGTTTTGTAAGTTTAATTTGTCTTGATTGTGTGCCTTCTAATTCTCGGAATAAAACGATCTCTGCTTACTCGTACTACGATTGTATAATTTATAGGGTTTAATTTGTGTGTTGATTTTTACCACATCATATACGAGGGCAATTTGATAATCTCAAAGTGTAGAAAAAAAAATTATATTTTTGTTTTATTATTGTGCATAGTATGTGCATGCCGCATGCGTATTAAAAATACTCTATTTTTGTTTCGAGATTAAGAAAGTGCAATGGTATTTCCCAAAAAATTCTTTCTCTCGACTTTTAAACTTTACTCACTGGTGGCGGCAGTGGCAGCGGCATCATCACCCAGCATGTGATGTGACGAATGATGATGAACAATGAGGAGAGGATTACAGCTCCAGTTTGATCGAGTTTCTTGGTTGCTGAGACAGTGCTCCACCCCCAAACACATCCAGCAAGCTCATGGATTTATGGTCCCCCGAAGCCTTGTTCACGACAATCTTATCCTCGCCCGGTTCATCGACACCTGCTCTTCTCTCGGCCTCTCAGATTACGCCTCTTCCGTCTTCGCCCACTGCCCAGCCACTCATCAGCCAACTATTTATCTCTACAACACCATGATCAAGGCTCACGCTCTCTCCCCCTCCCCCTCCCGCGCCGTCTCTCTTTTCAACTCCATTCAACTCGCCGCCTTGCGCCCTGACTCCTACTCCTTCTCCTTTGTGCTCAAGGCCGTTGTCCGCTTGCTCCAACTTCAACTGGGCGCTCAGATTCACTGCCACGCCATTGCCACTGGGTTCGCCGCCGATGCCAACGTCCTCACTGCCCTCGTTCATATGTATTCCTCCTGCGGATGCGTTTCCCACGCCCGCGCGCTGTTTGATGGAGCTTTCTTTGTCAGGGATGCCGCTCTCTGGAACGCAATGATCGGGGGGTATGCCAAGCTCGGTGACCTCGCCAGTGCCCGCCATGTGTTTGAACTTATGCCCCATAGCATTCGGAACGTGATTTCTTGGACTGCCCTGATTGCCGGATACGCCCAGACGAACCGCCCCCACGAGGCCATCACCGTCTTCCAGAGAATGCAGGTTGAGAATGTTGAGCCTGATGAGATAGCAGTGTTAGCTGCACTCTCTGCGTGTGCCCATTTAGGTGCCCTTGACTTGGGAGAGTGGATCCATAACTACATTAACAGCCATGGATTTCGTAAGCTGGTTTCTCTTAACAATGCACTTATCGACATGTATGCAAAGTCAGGCAACATCATGAAAGCCCTTCGGGTTTTTGAAAATACCAAGTGCAAAACTGTCGTAACTTGGACGACCATGATTGCTGGACTGGCTCTGCATGGTCTTGCAAGAGAAGCCCTTCAAATGTTTTCTCAAATGGAAAGGGCTCAAATCAAGCCTAACCATATCACTTTCATCGCCATCCTTTCTGCTTGTTGCCATGGTCGATTGGTTGAACTAGGCCATTGGTATTTTAACATCATGTTCTCCAAGTATGGGATTGAACCCAAGATCGTTCACTATGGCTGCATGATCGATTTACTTGGGCGCGCCGGTTATCTTGAAGAGGCACACGAGCTGGTTAAGCAGATGCCTTTTGAAGCAAATCCAGCTATATGGGGTTCTCTTCTTGCCGCTTCTAATATACATGGGCATGCTGAGCTTGGGCAGCATGCTTTACAACATCTTATAATGCTCGAGCCCCATAACAGTGGAAACTATGCACTTTTGTCTAACATATATGGTGCTCTAGGGAGGTGGAATGATTCTGGGATGCTAAGAAAAATTATGAGGGACACAGGTGTGAAGAAGGCGCCGGGAGGGAGTTCAGTAGAAGTGAATAACAGAGTCCATGAATTCATGGCAGGAGACAAATCACATTCAGAGTGCACTAGGATATATGAAGTCCTGTTTAAGATTTTCATGCAGTTGAAGCCGGCTGGACATCTACAAAATGATTGTGAGGAGCTGCTTGAATTTGATGAATAGCCATTAGCCAGGGTTTGATACTCCACTTCTTCCAACGTTAACCCAGATTTGAGATTGTGAACTTTCTTGTTGGATGTCAGAGGAGGTTTGCTACATCAGTGTATCTGGACCTATGTTTTCATCAACAAATAGGTATTTTCTTTCCAAAGTATTGTCTTCTGTCTTTTTGAGCTGCCGATGGGTTTACACTAACATACATATTATTTCTCTTCACCCTCATGCTACCCTACTAATAGTTCTTCCAGGCATCACATACACTGTTTGGTGTTTCAAAGAAAAGAAAGAGATAAAAATGATGTACAATGGTGCATCAGGAGTACAACTTGCATCAGGGATTCAGGAGAGTCACAAATCAGATCTGCTTAGTTCAGTGGTCTTAATTTCGTGCCAAGTGACAATCAGGTTTGATCAGTGAACTTGAAACTGAAAGTGCTTCACAAAAATAATTTGAGTTATTTAATTTGTACACATTTGTGATATGAATTTTCAATGCACATTTTTACATGAATGGAATATCGCTTTATTTCATAGGATAATCATCAGAACTTGCATATGAAGACTTGAATATATAGTCACCTACTGCAGCTGCTTCAAAGCATTAAGCCAAGGAAGAATTCCTGCTCTAGTCCCAAATTTCGTAATCCTAACCCTAGAAGAGTACTGATCCACAAAATTTGAATTTTCTGTTTAAGATGGTGGCATATTCCTGAAAAACAAATAGAGCAAGATAAACTTGTGAAGCCGTAGACCAGAACATATCCAAAGAAAAAAAGCTGCTGGGTGAAAATATTGGTAAATAAGATTGAACAAGATCAGCATGTTTGTATTTACATAAGTATCTTTCTTACCTGAGTTCATATCATCTTCTTGTGACTTTATGAGTTGTTGTGGCTTGGTTGGTTTCTTTGGAGTTGCATTTTCCATAAATAAAGCTCTTTGACATCTCATTTTTCCTAGGCCAGGTCTTATCCCTTTAGCAGACCTCTTAAATAGTGTGTCCGAGTCTTTTTTTCCACAATCTTCCGCACATATTGCGGTACACAATTGTTGACAGCATGACTTTAGTTCTATTCTCAAAACTGAGATACTAGACTCTTTTCTTGAGTCCAAAACGCTAGAAGCTGAATTGGCAGTAGAAATTTGGCACCAATTACTATCACTTGACAAGGAACTGTCTGAGCATTCTGTTTCACCAAGTAGTGCCTGCGTTGTGGATGAAGTGTGGACCCCATTATCATCTTGATTCAAATGAGAACTGCTGCACCAAATATCAGATGGATATGTAGTGTTGCATATGTGTTTCTCCATTGGCATGCCATCGAGTTTATCTTTTATATAGTTACATCTTGAGGAAATACTGTCATAATCCTTCAAATTTGTCGGAGTTTTATTAATAACCACTTCTTGCACGGACCTCTGAGATCCCTCCACACAAGCATGCTTCTCCAATTTGTTGTGGTTGATAATCTGTTTTGTTGCAAACTTGTAATTATGAACTTTCTTATCTTGCAAATTGTCTGTTTCTTTCTGTCCATTACATATATGTTTCTTCTCTGGGGTAGGAATGGCTGGAACCCATTTGTTCCTGTGAAAGTGACTCCTGGTAACATTTGCATTGTTATTTAAGAGTAGCCACTTATCAACATAGGGTTTAGGTGATGCTTCCTGTCCTGGGAGCACAACCTCTTTAGTATCGGACTCTGATAGATCCTGACTGTATTCTGTTTCACAATCTGCACTACTTTTCATCTTCAAAGCCACTAAACAGCTATTTCTGGAAATACTGCATTCTGAGTTGCTTTCTGAAGTACCCTTTAAGGGGAAATTCACAGAATTCGCATGATGGTCCATTGGCCTTCTCCTTTTTACAGGAACTCTCACTGTTTCTTCAGAAGTTAGGTGCTCCAGTCCAGATTTTCTTCGACTGCAAACAGTAGGCCTCATAAACCTTGGTACCTGCGATAATGGAGCTGCTGCAATATTTCTAGTCTTGTTCCTACTAATTTCAAGATTAGGTTGGGGCCGTTCATTATATTTATATAAATGGTAAGCATCCAGTTGCTCGCCGAAAGATGGGGATGTCCCTGTTAATTTATCCAATTCCTCAGTTAACTTCTTGATACTTGTTCTAGCTTCTTGGCGCTCAGCTTCAATCAGTTTAATCTTTTGTTGCAGATCAATCATTGCAACTTCCTTCTCCCTTTCTACCTGATTTCAGTTTTTCCCAGTCATTATAAAGGCACCAGAGTTCACAATTCATAATTGAAACAAAAAGGCACTTGAATTCTTGAAGTAAAGTAACCAGGTAATTCAGAAAACTGGTTAGGTTTTGTTGTGTTGTGTCTCTGTTTTGAGTATCCATGTGGATATGGTTAATTCTTTTTCTTCTATTTTTTGGTTGAAATGATTAATTCATTTATCAAATGAATCCTCACAACCAATATGCTTAGTTATGATTTAAATGTTTACTTGAATCCTCACAACCAATATGCTTAGTTATGATTTAAATGTTTACTTTGTCATATTTAATCTCTCTTTACCAAGGGTTACTAAACTATCTAATTGTTTTATAGAGAACAGATTGTCACATTTACTTACAGTTGAATCTGTTTTCCCTAGATGAACGCTTCTCACCCTTGTCGCAAAATTCAAAGAACACACTGTTTCACAGAGATCTTCTTCATTAGGACTGATATGGACAAGCATTAGAGTTTTTGAGTCCTGCCCTGAGAATAAAATAAATCAATAGTTAAACCGTGCTGATATAACTATAAAAAGTAGAAATAATTTATATGTGAAGCATGCATAAAAATGTTATGTATATCTGAAAATGAAATTCTTGCCATCTCTGGCGGTGGCTTTTTCTTAAAATAGTTTCCATGATGGATATAACTATTTGTTGTATGCATATAGTTTACTCCAAGAGACTTGTTAGTGGTGGCAGAACAATATCGTAGTAAAATTTGGAGTAGGGCACAGTCTTTTTTTCATAAATAAGTAGGGCATGTTCTTGTCTCTTGGTCATTACAAATAAGGATGACACTGGAGTCCGGTAAGGTAAAAGGTATTACCAAGGGAATCCTTAAGAACCTGCGTCAGCTTGCTATTCCTGTCATTAGTGAAAAATGAATCAGTTATCATTTAGGGATGAGTTCATAATGTTGCAGCAGATTTAGTAATTACTAATTAGCCATACAAGACAAGTAAATCTTAACTGCTGAGTTGTTATTTCATATTAGTTGTTACATAAAAAGAAGATGAAAAGTAGAAAATTTGTTAGTATCTTAATCACACCAAGAGTGATATTTGAGAGATTTAATTTCTCAATCAAGTTGGAGGGTATGGCTTCAATAAAAAAATAACGCAAAGGGACATCTGCTACCGACCCCAAGTAGTAGGGATCAATGAACAATGATTAATTGTATTTCTGTTACCTATAAGGTACATGGCTTTTTCTATTTTGAAGGGCACTGATGACATCTCCAAGAGAGGAAAGTGACAAGTTAATGGCCTTTCCTTCTTCTAGTCTTCTACCCCATGCCTTTGTTTTCAACAAACGCTCACTTCCTCCAAGATCAACAAACCAAACTTTATTTGTTTCCCGTCGCCTCTCAGGTGCTCCACTACATGTGATTGATATGCGAATCAAGCTACCAAAACAGGAACATAAAGTTTTAGAAACATAATAGTATTGTTTCTACATACCAAGTTCCAAAACCAGTAACCAGAGCTGAAGACATACTAAGTCAGCAAGTTTCTTATTATAGAAAGTGGTTACCAGTGTGATCTGCTGGAAGTACTGTTACAATTTGTTGATGCAGTTGACCTGAACCGGCACCCTAGTTTATATAGTTTCAAAGCTTGGTTGAAGTCACTCACTTGAATAGCCACAAGATTTTCAATTTCAATCCCACCATTTGGATCTGATTGGATTGATAGGCTGTTGAAGTAAAAGTAGGATTACTACATGAGGCAATGTTTAGCACTGCTAACAAATCGAACTTAACCCAGTAAATTTTACATGTATTTAAGAGACCATGAGAGGTTTAATTGAGCGAAATTAGCTTCCATCGTTTCCTCCTCTTGACGGGAATTAGCTATACCTGACAGTTAGTGCTGCCTCTGAAATTTTTTCTTCTCCCACTTTTGCTTTGAAATTCTTCGACTAATAAAGAATTGTGCTACTTCAAGCATATAGACTTGGGACTAATTATTTGATGCAGTCATATTTTCAGACATGATATGGCGGGTATGGAATTCCTCACCCTCCTCCAACATAGTGAAGAAAGAGGTCAAACTAAGTTCATTGAACTTGGTCAAATTTGTACTCTCTAGAATGTTACAGGAGGTATAAGTTATAAAAAGTTGGTACGAGAACATATTAATCATCTTCACCTATGTTATTTTTTTAAGCGACCACCATACACGAAAGGCTTACGCACTTAAGAATGGGCCAACAATGTATAACAAGCTTACTTCCCTCTCATGTAGACTTGGAGAGGGAGACAATTGCAGATATGGAGAAACATATAGGTGCAGCTCCATCGTGCACCTTGCAAGCTCCATCATGTACCTTGCAAGTCAACAGATAAGTGGGGAATGGTTATTGGAGGTTTCGAACTCACGGCCTCCTACAACCAGAAATAGGATACCTACTAGAGAATCACTCTGAAGGCTTAAATGGACTATAGAGAGGAGGAACATTGAGAAAAGATCAGATTTTGGTCATCTTTATGGATATCTCTCTGATATTCCTCTAGATTGTAAGGCTGCAGACTGCGATGTGTGTGCAGATTAGTTAAAGAGTGCAAGGGAATCCAAGTATTATTTTTAGTTTGGTTACATTTGGTAGGCCTGTCCATTCCCACTTTGTTTCCTGTATGTTTTCTGTGTGGTCTCCTTGTCCGAAAAGTTGTTTTTTTGTTAGCATTAATAAAAATTCTGTTCGTCTTTTCTTGAAAGAGGAAAGTGGTATAACTTATGATAAATGAGCAGCAGTTGGTATTGTTAGCATTACCAGGGAGGCAGAGGATCCATTGCCTTTGTTGGTTGAGGAATTAGCAGGTCTCTGAGATTTCCCATGTAAATCTCAAGCATACTGAAACTGAATAGAAACACATGGTTGCTATCAACTGCTTGCCTAAACAGCGCTTCAATTGCACGGGGCACCACTCCGGGAAATTCTGGAGTTCCTTCCTACGAATTTTAGATCCGAAAAAGTAGAGTCAGAATTATTATATATATACCACATTTAAGAAAAACTAGAGGCAAATCAAGGAATGCCATTGAGAATTTTGGGCTACTGAATTTTCAGCGGTTTGATATCACTGGGATGGCATGGCTTTCTTAGTTGGCCATGTCATGATTTTACTTGTTTTGCAAGATTCTTAGCATGTATTGTAATTTGTATAGTATGCCTACAAATTCCATAAGATTTTTGGCTTGATTCCTCACCATGGTGAAGGTTTTCCCTGTGCCTGTCTGTCCATATGCAAATATGCATGCATTGTAGCCGTCAAGTGCGGATTTGATGACTGGCTCAACTTCTGAAAAGACTTCGTCTGAAATTTTCGGTAATCAAATTGTCAATCATATATTCATAGCCTTCTGTGTAAGTCATCTTTGGATTGGAGTTGCAACAATACAGAGTGGCCAAATTTACAACCAAAAAGTTTTCATGTACTCAAGCACCTTGTGATGAGCCGGGGCGGAAAACATTGTCGAAACTGTAAGTTTTATTCTTATTGTCAGTAAGTCTTAGAAGAACATCACTTGAATCCAATGCTACAACAGGCCTAAGGTGGCCGAAGTTCTCCCCTATTGCAATGGGTCTTATACGACAAAGCACTCTAATATTACCTGCAATGACAAATATGCTTAGCATACTTCTGCAATTTAAATTGGTTTGGGTCAACTGCAAGTTTGCAACAGATATGTGCAGCTAAGTATTTTAAATTCTTTGGTCTGTTTGGATACATTACTTGAGAACATTTAGTAAAAGCACTCTTTCTTTTTTCATTATAGGATGGTAAACACAATAGTTTTCAGTTGAGGATGACTAACCTTTCAAATTTAGAAATTCATTTAGAACCTGCCTTCTCCGTTTGTTAAATTCTTTCATGTGGGCAGTCAAGATAGCAAGTTCATCTGTTGACAGGAGGGGAATAAGAAAGTGTATAGGCGGCGGTCGATGAAGAGAATGGTAGATAGTCTCACACGGAGGACATCAGAATAAAACATATGCAGAAAGACATGAAAGGATTTACCTCTAATTTTTGAGGCAGCGTCTGAAGACGTGTCTGTCTCGAGATTTGTTGTTGTTAAGTCGGTGGGTTGTCCTTGAGGTTGAGGACAGTGAGGAGGTAGGTTTGTTATTATATCACAAACAGACTGAACCCAGGTGGAAGTGAGATGTGACTTCAGTCCTAGTAAGGAATGAATTGTTTCAGAAAGAGAGTGGTGGGAAGGGTCTCTTGATGCCATGACTTTCCTCATTCCCCTCTTTTTAATTATACGTACGCACTCTCTGTTGAATCAAATCTCTCTGTCGTGCAAGTGCAACCAAACATTGTTGCTAGGGTCGTCTTCTTTCTGGCCAGTACTTGTCTTCCGTGAACTAGGAAATAATCTTTGATATACAGATGAAAAGGAGTATTAGTAGTATATGAAAAAACTGCAGAAATCTATGCGTATATATAATATATAGAGGATCCTATTCTTTGCTAATGTGAGCTGTCTATAACGCAGTAAACGAAAGATGGACGGAATCCCGGATATCCAATATCTGAGAAGCCTCAGAGAAAACCAGCACGAGGTCAAGTATTTTCGTCCATCTCCATGGCATGGCAGCCCCCAACTTTATATTTCCTTCAGCTATTAGCCAAGGAAACCAAAACACGTAAAATATAAAAGAGTGGTTTGGGGGAATGGGAAGGGAGAAGAAGTCTCACGAGCTTTTGAATGTTGATGGAAGAATTTTTGTCTCTGCAGCTGCGAGCGAGACTAAAACCATTTCAGATTTCAAGCATCATCTTAATTACAACCTTTATTTGATATGTTATTCAGGTACTTACTGCCAGCCAGGTAATCAATCTTGGAATTTTGCTTCTTGACAAAGTATATGAAAGATAAGAAACAACATAACAACAATGAGAGAAAGCAAAGGCTGGTAGTGGTAGTTGAAGCGGGTCCCGTTCCATTTCAAATGGGAATGTTTGTGCTCACCACTCTCACGTGATGATGATGTTCACTACTCTATTTATCACATTTAGATGAGTTTAAATTTCGAGATTTTCGTAGTGGATAAACACAAATCTCAAAATTTAAACTCATCCAACTGTAATAATTAGGGTGGTGATCATTACCACCACTTGAGTGTGGTGAGAAAATGCACACCATTTCAAATAGGACTTCAGGATCTCTTTGCATGAATAATCTGTAATATATGAGCCTTATGGCTCTTGCCATTTGAGCTCCCCAGGCCAACTGCAACACCAACCATGACCAATTGACCTTCCCTTCCCTTCTCTTTCCACAGTCATAACTCATTCACAATCGTCTAATTAAATATAGATCTTGGCCTTCATTTCATTTGGTCCCATCGCATCCCATCTAATCCTAGTGTTTTATGTTTGCAAACTACGCCAACATAGACCAGTTAATCAATAGGCTGAAAATCAAACAAAGCCAACACACCAATCAATGGACCAAAGAAACTTCCTTTGCAACTTACGATGTTGACCCCCAAAAACGATGAATTGTTTACTGATAAGCTACCTTGATTTTGATGTCATGATATATCAAAGAGTATGGATTAGCCAGCCATCCTTTGATCCCAATAGTTAGGTGACTAAACTCTCTGCACTTGAAGGAGTATGGAATGATTCAACGGTGAATATTAATGTTGTAACAAAACGCCTAAAATGAAAAAACTAATCTTGTTATGGTAATATCCATGTCATTATGTGTTATTAAATATACATATATAACATTATCATTGTTATATATATGTAACCTTACCTATCTTATAATTCATATATTGAATGTTGACGTCATGTTTATAACATTATTAAATGTGAAGGTAGAGAGCACAAAAGTGAATAACGGTAATGGGTAGCTTCATGACGTCTACTAACATAACTTGCGTCTATACTGTAACAAGATATTCACAGTGTAACAATCAGCGTTGATTGTATGATAAACAATATCATTCTTAATAACATATTAAGCTTTAACAATTGTAAAGTAATCTTATTAAAACAAAGGGTACTAACATCCTCTTCTTACTTTTTCTTGGGTACCATAGAATTACCCATATTACAACCAAAAAGCTACACCAGTGTCACAAAGAATAGGCAGAGCATGTGCCAAGAGGCGCCACCGTGAGGAAGGACATGCCACTACACACCCTCCATACATTACACACCATAGAGTGATACTAATAGCTAGGTAACAATGTGAAGGAGTGTAGCCTTGAACCATAGAACACATGTGCATAATGTCATTTCTACTGATCGAAGCAACTGCCGACAGTGTTGCAAACTTTGCTTCTTCCCTTTTTTTTTTCTTTCAACGTTGAGGTCAATTATTTGGTTGTTTTTATACAATCCAAAGCTGGTCATGAAACATGAATGATCTGTTTCTATCAACCAGTTTCAGTGGGGCACCCACCCACAGATCCTATCCAATTTCAAGATGTGTGAATGAGGGGTCTCTAGGCCCGTAAGGTAATTTCTGTTTAGGTTTTCCCTTATTATATATATTTATATAGTCTTTGTTGGATTCGAGCTAGCCAGCCTCTGTTATCAGTATATGTGCAGTGTTTGGGATCCGAATTAGTTTTATTGTTTAATTTAATTAAGGAATATTAATAAAAGTGAATCACCTAATATATATGTAAATATATGTAATGTATAATTGAAAAAAGAGATATTGCAAATGATGAAATCTCAGAATTTAGAAAGTACGTAGTACTAATTAATTAAAGGACTTGAAGGCTTAATAATGTATTGTACGTGTGTACGTACCTGTTTAACTTTAAGGCTAATTAAGCTTAGCTGCTAGCTTAATATTTTGACGATATCCCCAAGGGCCTGGCATGAGGAGCAGAAAGAAACATCGTGTAGCCAAAGACAACTTGCCAATTAACCTCAGCAGCACTTAGGTTCTAGTTAATCACTAGCTAGTAGTGGCTAATCTATAATTAGCTCTATATATAATAAAGAAGCATGCACGGAATTAGTGATAGGATTAAAAGCACACCACAAAGCAGCACACTGATGTTCTATTGATTTTCTTTATTAACGCTAAGATTTGTCAATTGTAGCATATGAAAATAAGGGTCTTTCCCGCAGAAGATTGTTTTATCTAACTACGTAAAATGTTACAAAAACTGGGTTGTTGTCCCTACTGACCAGCCGCCGAAAAATAATTATTAGACCGACTTACACTTATCTAAAGTCTACCAAATTTTATATGAAAATACTAGACACATAGAGCTACACTCATACAAATTTTTGGGATTTTTGGAGTTGATTTGCTATTTAAATTAAATCGAACAAAAATAGATTTTAAGTAGTTCGCAAATTAAGAAAAACGAGTTAGGGGAATTGCTAATCCACCACCAAATAATCATGCAAACATGTTATGTTTCATTCAAATTCCTTCTATTTTCAGATGAAGATGCTCAAGTTGGCTCAATGTTAGAACTCAACCTATTACTCTTTCTTATGTAGTATGTTAAGAGAATGACATTTTCAACTTAACGTAGTTTCTAACATGTAATCTAGAATGGCGTGTTCATAGATTTAACAAGTAGAAATCATTAAGAACAAAAAGAGTTTGAGTCATCACAAGGCATCATAAGTACTGGCATTGTCTTACTTATCCTAGAAATTGGTTCACAAGTTAATCGCAATTAACAAGTACTACTCTAGAACATATATAGGTCCTCATTTGACAAGGGCAGACACACACATATTCATAGCATTAGAATCCTAGATATGCTTACTAAGTATGCATCCGTAGAAAACACATAAAGAATTCATCAATGAGACAAGTAGTGAACAAATTTTCATCCAATCATAAAAGTAATTCAAACGAAATGTCATAACAAACTTGCAATCATATTCGGGGCTTCAAATAGCCCCTAACTACTAAAAATTTATTTACACAATCCTTAAGTTAAAACAAAAGATAGACATGAGTTTGAGAAAATAGAACTGAAAGAAATCGACTGAGGATTCCTCTTTCCTTCCTTCCCCAACACTACTTTTAAACCAATTCTTGGTGCATCATTTTCTTCTCCTTAACTCACCCACTAATAGCCATTTAGTGATGACAATAAATGAAAGGAAATGGTAAAACAATTGTAACTCCCTGGGTAGCCTTTATGCCAATTACTCCCTCTTAATCCTCATCTTTAATTCCATTTCCTCTGATATTTGAATAAGTGTCAGCTAGTTTGTTCTTGGCTGCATCAGTTTTGACTGCTAGTTTTATTGGATTTATTGCTTTCAATGCTTTCTTGTCAGTTACAAACTGTTCAGCCTCTTGGGAACCTTTCGGTGTTAAAATGGCCATAACTTCTTCTAGAAAAATGATATTAGTAATCCGTGAAATGCTCCAGAAATACACATCCGTAACTTTCCAAGCATATAAGGATCATTCTCTAATTCATTCTGAACTGTCCGCAACTTGCTTCCAAAGTCGGCTGACCTGCACAGGCAATTTTGACGAATTTATTACTTAAAATCCCATTTGTGCTATTTTTCTTTTCTTTGCTTGACAAATCCTACAAAACACAAAAACAAAGTAAATAACTCAAAAATATAAGGAACTAACTAAGAAAAGACAAGTGAATTTCATATAATATATATATAAATATAAGCTTATCAATTAGCTAATACTAGAAAGTGTGACCCGCGCGTTGCTGCGGGATTGAAAATTTTATGACAAATTATGATTAAAACATACAAAAGATAATGCATCCAATGATTGTGGACCTAATAATCATGTAAATGTCATCAAACCAAAGTAAACTTTCATTTAACTAAGTTCTTGGCACTTCAGTTAAATCTCAAGTTTTAAAAAGTAGTTCAATTTGACTAAAATTATACAGAGTGAGGGAAAAAGACAACAAATAGTTGCGGAAAGGTGTACATTGACACTAATCCTGCAAGTCAAATATGAAAAATGTTAAGAATGTAGAAGCTTAAATTATCCCTAGCATCAGTAGATTAACAGTGAAGAAACAAAATTCATTTATTTATATTGAATTGTCGCTTGACAATTCAGTATGGGAAAAAATGCAAGAAAAAAATATTGTTAAATATCATGTGAATAAGTGAATAACAGTGAACATGACATATAGCATAACATGAATATGCATGTGCATGGTAAATACTACGCAATAATATTCATAGGCAAACACTAACTATCAATTAACCATTTTAATTAACACTTTAAAAAAGTTGTTTTAAGTATAAAAAGATCTAATACAAAGAATAGAACACTGAATATTATAAAAAATAAATCCATATAATATACAGACACAATGATTACACAATGATTATGAAAATATATATCATTTGACAATACAAAATCAAGCAATGTCTAAAGATGACAAAAAGATCCCAAACAGTGTTTTTGACCCAAAAAATAAAGATCCTAGATAGTGTTTATTACAGAAAGCAAAAACGTTAGATCATATGCATTGAAACAATTAACAAATTTTCAATGAGCAATACCAAGTGTTTATTACTTAAGATCATTAAGTAATGATTGCTCACCTTTTCATCAACCAGTATACGTGCAGACCTGTATATTTATCAGTTGTCATCAGAACAGGCAGACTTTAATTTTTACTGCCTTTTTATACGGTTATCAGTTCTGATCCAAGTAAACTAAAAAAAACCAATTATAATTAAAGATTTATTAGTTATAGGCTAAATCAAACAATGATTGTATCTCCAGAAGTGAAAGATAATTAGTTGTGCCTAGTTTTACGTCAACACTTCATATTACATCCAATTTAACTATTACAACAATATAGTGACACACTTAACATAAAATTCTGCCAACCATATAACAATAGTAAATCAAGTAAGTAATTTGCAAAAATTAGAAATGTATCATAAAAAGTAAATATCTTATGTCATACGTGTTAAAATGATTAACAAATTCTTAGTCAGTCGTATCTTATTAAGACTCGTGGCTGAGAAAATAAGAAGGGAGAAAGAGAGAAATGAAACATTACCATCTAGTCTCTTTAACTGTGCAAAACTTAAAATTCACATAGTCAACGGCCATACTTGAAACCAATGAATAAAAAATTAATAAAACTTCATCAGAGATTCAGAGTAATAGTTAAAAATTTGGAAGACCCAAATAAAAATCATTTAGCTATAAACAGTATGCAAAAACGTGAAGGAAAAAAAATAGAGATGCACTAAGACCATAATTCATGACTGTTATCCAAAATCTCCAAAGTAAACATACAATCAAATAGATTCCTCTCTATTTTTCATCTCTCTCCCTGTTATTTAGTATTGTGATAAGGTTATGATAAGCAATTATTTTTTCAAAATTTAATAATAATAAACATCACAGTATAAGTTTAACATGAGAGAAAGAGTCAATCTCTACCTTTGATATGTTGATCCTACCATTCCCCTACATACTTGATCCTTTTTAAGTCCACCTATTGGCAAAATAATAAAGACAAAACTTGTAACACTATTTAAACAAAAAGAGATTTCTCAATCAGAAAAAGCTTCAATTTCAATTAATTTATTCTGTTATCGCAATATTGGAACTTGCATTTGGTTCAAAAAAGTAATGTAAATTGATCAAGCAAAAGAAACTACAAATAGAATCTATACCAATTGGTTTAAAAGCATTAATCAGTATGACAATGAAAATTTCATACTGAAATCTCACCTTGTGACATTACCTTATATGTGTTCATTTCCTATTTTTCATCAGACGCATTCTCATTCTCTAGTTTTGAGTTTAATTTTTCTTTCGACTCCCTATGTAGATGGGCTCAACCTCCTTTTGTTTTTCCTAGAATTTTTTCATTGAAATACAAACCTGTGTAAGTGTTTGAAAACCTGTATTGGTTATGGATATTAACAAACTGATAGAGAACTTGTTACATAATATACATACCTGCAGCATTAGAACAAATGAGAAATGGTGGGTATCATCAATAGTACTTGTCATCAACATCAACTTATCATCCAAAGCGGCATTTAATTTCTTTTATTGTTCATCATCTATGATATATATGAATAATAGATCTCAAAAGAATGAAAACATAAAAAAAAAACAAACAAAATATGGTCGACATTGCTTTATAATTTCGTATCAATATGGCATGATAACTTGGTTGATTCATTTGTGAACTAAATTAAAAACAAACTTAAACGATAATTTAGTGATGAGAGGTTGATTATTCAATGATAAACTACATATGCACGCCGTTGTCTACTTAAGGTGAGCAATTTGAAGATTCTATACCTCACGCATCTGGAATCGTACATACAAAAGCGGCAAAAACGATGGCCACTGCTTCCTGAAAATAAAAAAACCAAATCATATACCCACACTAAAAATCCATATACAACACAACCTCAAAATTAATTATCACCAAATTTTTTTTTACAGAAAATAGATCCGCAAACTAAACACGACCCAAAAAAATTTTAAATTTTGTTCAACAAAAGATATAAGAGGAGGATACTAAATTATATACCTTAATCAGAAGGGGCCTGCAAACTTCTATACAAAAACCATAAAATTCGAACGGCAACGTTTCCTGAAATAAAAAACAACCAAATCATACACCCACACTAAAAATCCAAACTCATAAACCATGAACACTTCTCCCTGGAAATAAAAAACAACCAAATCACAACCCATACTAAAAACCCAAACAGACAAAGGAAACCCCAATAATTAATCATCCCACCAAAAACGAAACAGGACCAAAAAAAAATTAAAAATTCTGTTGGAAAAAGATTTAAGAACAAAAATATAAATTATATACCTCACCCAGAAAGGGCTTGCAAGCTTGTACAATAAAACCTTAAAATTCAAAGACCAATGTTTCTTGCAACAAAAAACGAAATCAGATCAAACATCCACACACAAAGTACGAAAAAAATTAAGAAAACGCTCAGCACAAAACGGCAAGACTTGAATTTTACACTAATCAATTAAAAAAAAATTTCTTGCTAACCAAACAGAAAATAAGATGCGGATGAAGCAACACACCTAAAACGGCGCGATTGGTTTCTGGAAAACAGCCAAAAAAATCCAAAATGCCTTTCTAGACGACGGAATCAAAATCGAAACGGAGAGACAGACGAAGAGATGGAGAGAGAGCAAATGAAAAGGAAAAGAGACGGAACAAAATGGAAGACATTTCACCACCAAATTTCAACAAAGAAGTAACAAAGCACAAAAAAAAAAAAAAATCAAATATTTGGCTTTTGGGTAGTTGAGAAGAAGTGAGATTTAATCACCTATCAAAGGCTAAATTGGGAGCACGATGGCGTGGCGAAGAGATTGAACAGATGAGGAAGCAAAGATCGAACAGATCTCACGAAGCGAAATCGAAATCGCTAATCGGTTGCAGAGCACAGTTTTTTCTTTTTTGGATTTCTGCGATTTCTGAGGAAGAAGTCGAGAGACTTCTATTGGACACCAGGTTAAAATACACCAGAAGAGTCCGGAAGAGTAAAAACAAAAAGAAGGGAGCACGATGACCAACACGTGTGAAGCATGGCACAAATGCAATTAAACAAATCAAGCAGGGGCAAAAAGGGAAGCACACTGCCCTAAAACAGTGCCACCCGAGTTTGGAATCTGACATCAAAGCAAAAGGGGCAAAGTTGAAATAAAAGAAGAATGGGCGAGGACAAAATCGGAAATCCACTGGTCATCCACAGTGACCAACCCTTACGGGTTTTAGTATATATGATATAATACATACACACACACACACATACATGCATCGTCACATGAAGGCCTGGAAATATAGAAGAGAGACCGAGAACGACGTTGGTGTAGGAGTAGATCGGCAAGTCATCCTTGGCTGCAAAACACCTTCTGCACTCAACACGCAAGGCAAGGCAATAGAAGCTTCTCAAACCATGCACATATGATCGATCGAATATAATACACACACACACACACACACATAATGCGGATGGAAATTGGAAAACACGGGACAGAAAAGAAACAGATCAGAGAGGAAAATAAGGATTAAAACAAATTGAAGGATCTTAATCATATTAATGTATATGACGAAAGGACTCTAGCCTCAAGTTAGAGCTTTCGACATCTGATGCATCATATTTACACACACACACGCACACGCACACGCACACGCACGCACGCGCTCACACACACACACACACACGCACACACACACACACACACACACACATATACACACACACAACTTACAGCTTCAATTTAGGTGATGATGAGGAGGACAGCTACTGAAAAATATGTGTGTGTGTGTCTAGAATTAATCTGTAAGGGTGTGTTTGTTGCATCAGACTGTCTCGAACTGGACTAGCTGCAAGGACTAAGCTGGACTGGCTTAGACTAGACTAAGCTGGACTAGCTTAGTGAAGCGTTTGGTGCAGCGTCGGACTAAGAAGTAGGATAATTAAAACAGTATTGTTACCAGTTTGATGTTTGTTTAGATTAGAACTACATTATTGTTCTATTTTAATTTCTTTTTATATTAAAGATATTATTAAAATTAATAATATTGGATTAGAGTGAGACTCAATAAAAATATAAAAACCAAATTTTCTTGCCAATGAAAGAAACATACATGATTCAGGATGCGTTTGTTGTACCGGACTATCTCGGATTGAACTAACTTTTGGGACTTAGTTAGACTGATTTAGCGTAGACTAAGCTGGATAAGAACAGTGGAGTGTTTAGAGTTCAAATACTTCTTTTGTCATTCATTAATTCATTTGACTATTATTAATACACCTTTTTTATCTTACAAAAAAAAACAAAATACAACTATTTTTATTTGACTCTCTCTCTCTCTCCCCCCGTCTCTCTCCCCCGTCTCTCTCTTTTCTTCATTCATTTGCTTTGGTTCTTCAAGCCCAGATTCGCTCCCAATAAAACTCAAACCAGAAAAAATAAAACCCACATTTTTTCTTCTTTGCATTTGCTTTCTCTTGAATTCAAACCTATATTTCTCTTCTTTTAATTTACTTACTTTCTCTTCAAATCAAACCCAGAAAAATCCCCAATTTTTTTTTTTCAATTTGCAGATGCTTCGTCGGATCGTCGGATCTGCAAATTCATTTCAATCGACCTCTCCAAATCAACGTCAATCGATCTTGCAGAATAAAAAGAGACAAACTTGCTGGCGCATCTTCCTGGCGAAGCTCTTGGCAAACTCAAGTAGGGCGCGACGGTTGGTGCGGGATCTGGAAGAAGAAGCAAGTTGAGGAAGACAAAGACAAAGTGAGTTGAGGAAGACGAAGACCAAGCAGACGAAGCGAAGCGATGGTCTTAGCAATCCCATCCTTTTTGGGCGGTCTCGCTAAAACCGGTTAGTGAAGAGTTTAGTCGGCACGAGTCCGACGTAGTCCCATTAAACACAATCCTGGCTCGCACCAAACATGGAATTAATATTCTTAGTAAGCCAGTCCAATCCAATGATATTTAGTAAGTGTAAACAAACACGCCCCTAAAAGGATAAGGGTTCTTTAACTTGCCATATATTTTTCTCAGTCGTTGATCAGACCTAGTTTGCAAGTTGCAAATGATGGATTTGAGCATATTTTAATAAAAGAAAGCCACTTGCATGCGGAAGGTAAGTGCCAGGTGTATTTGCAAGACAAGTTAGCCCAGAGGCTCAAAATATGCTTGTACGTACAGTAAGATTCAGTGCTTCAGCAGATCATTACACATGTATACATACATAGTAAACCACTCATGCATATTGGTTTAATTATTTTACAGTTTGAAGTCATCAATAATGTGTAGATGTTAGTCACCTACAAAACTTACCGACATGTTATCCAAACATCTAATTTCATTGTAATTTGATGAGAAGAATTATTAGTTTAAGGACGATATCAACGAGACGAAGAATGTGTTAAGTGTATGGTGTGTTGAATATTTATCAACGATCAACGATAGATTTATATATAGAAATAAATTCGAATATGCTAAAAAATAAAAAATTTAAATTAATAATTTAGCACAGTATGTACAAAACAAAACTAATATTTAATAAGATAAACTGAAGATCGAGGCTTGCATATTGCAATGTCCTTAAAATAGTATTTGGTCTTAGTGTTTGTAATTCAATGAACGTCTTCTCTACCAAAATTCAACGATCAAACCAAGATTCCAACACTAGAAACCTTGGTTTCTGGCAAATATCTTTGTGGTTCTCTTAACGAGAAGGTTTTGGTATTTCAAAAGGAGAATTCGTTTTGTCTATGTCTAAATGTCGTGCAGATGGATGTATATATAATACACATATGTCTGTTTGCAACAGGTATGAATATGAATGCATCTTTTGGGAGGTATCTGCTTATATGGGTGCATAGCTCTTGGCATTCTTCTGTTGTCTTCAAACTTCATTCCAAAGGATGAGTTTGTTGATTTAAAAATTAAATAATTAAATCTAAAATTAAAAGATAATTAAGTATTATATTTAATTATTAGAGCTTAAGCCCAAGAGCCCCAAGGTTCAAGGTTCATCTTTTGATAATTAATTATTAAAATATATTAATATTATTACACTCCAAAGCCTAAACTCAAGGTTTAGGCCCAATTTTGCTCTTCTTGATCCATTTCTCCAATCACTTTGTAAGAATAACAAAGTCTTATAAAGTGTGGGAAACTTTTAGAACCAAACTCCCTATAAAACCTAAAAGGTAAACACCTGCAAGTAAGTCTGTCTACGTTAGCACTTTATTAATTAGGTCACGTACCTAATTAATTATTGTTTGGGTTTGACCCAAAGACATACACATATTTTTGAAGTACTCAACGATACAAACACGTGGGTGCAAGCGGAATTGAAATCGGAGTTACGATGAAGATTGTGTAGAATTAGGAAGTTGAAGGGTATTCTAGTAAAATTACTATTTCAAATTTTTTTCCTCTTCAATTATTTTAATATATTATTTAGATTTTTATCTAGTGGGGTCCACACCCCACTTCTCCTTCTCCTTCTCTTCCCCATGTCTCTCCACCTATGCTCTTGGGGACTCTCTCTTTATCTCATCTCACTCTCTCATTTCCCCTTAAACTCTCACTTCCCTCTCAACTCTAATCCCTCATCTCTCTAAGCACAGACACAACTAGCCACTCCAACGAGTTCTCAAACCACATAACCACCATGACCCTCAACCTTAAATACTTAGGACACCCAGGTCCTTAATGAAACGATGGTTGTTGCCACTGTTCATCGTCTCTCCGAAGATTTATCTAACAAATTTCATGCTTCCAACTTTGGTAAGGACTCACATCACTCATCCTCGTTTTCGTTTTCGATTTCGAGCTTACATGTGAGTTTTGGTGGCGATTAGTGCATTTACCACTCAGGAAGCAATTCTCCAATTTTTTCGAGGAAGGAAACTGCGACTTCCAGGCCATTTTCCAACCAAACTCCGGCCACAACTAAGCCTCTTTTTAGGATGCTCTCTTCCTCTCTTACATGTGCAGAAGTATTGTTATAATAGATGTTGAGAATTATGAAATTACCATGGCAAGATCATACTTATGTTAACTATTCATCATGCATGCTACACTAGTGTTTGTACTCATCCTAATCCAGGGCCAATCTTCACGTGTATGTTCATATCGCATGATACACTCACCTTGGAGCCATTGTATGTCTTAGTCATGTCCTAGATTGCTATAGGCAATTAGGACTCATATGTGATGCACATAGAGTCAGTGTTCACACGATTTTAGTACTAAAGTGTAGGTCACTATCACACTCAGTCCTGTTCATGTCTGAATACCTCTGCATGAACTCATCTGTCAGCAAGTGCCAATGATTATCCGAAATTATATGTTCTTTTATGAGAGATATTGTGATTTACCGTATTTTTTACGGTAATTATTTTTGTACTATACGTGGTATGATATGTTGAAACCTAATACTTGTTTTATAATGAGGGATTATACATTTTTGAAAAGGTTTTACAAAAATTTATTTTTCGGCCCACTCACCTTTGTTTTTTCGCCCCTCCAGGATTTAATGGCGGAGTTTCTGTGACGACGAGGATTTCTGGCAAACAAGGACATATAGAAGGTTTCTCCTTTTGGTATAATATTTATTT